AAAACATAAACGTCTCTCCAAATCTCGGTATGCCAACACTCATCAGAAGCCCAATCACTACATTCGCTTTGACCAACCAAAAATCTCCAAAGGAGAGTCGATTTTTTTCCAAGATTGGTACGCGAACAATTGAAATCAAAAAACACCAAATTTCAATAGGAGGACCCTCAACTTCAAAACCGATCCCATATTAAAAACTCTGATCCCAATAAACACATACCACAAACCGAAGACACCTTAGTCAATTCTGTAAGACCCAGTTCGCCAAATACAACTTCGACGGAAGATGCCAGTAAATTCTTTACTTTGAGTCTGAGAATCCTCATCTTTAGTCTCCCCTGACACGGCTGCTGCAAAGCATCCGAAAGTCGGGGAAGTTAAAAATCATTTTCAAATAAGTTTAACTAATATATCGCGTTTTAAACGTTAAAGTGTTTTATTTAAATTGTACACTCGCGTAAAATAGACAGTATTTACTATTATCTTATCAATGGGTATTATAAATTACTATCGCTTTATAACATGTTTTTAAGATAAATGCATTTTTATATGACGCTTTTAGCTTGCATCGTTTTATATATCGACCCTACCAATTATAATAGTCCTAGTATCTTTAGTCTAAGTATATATATCTATATGTATATAATATTTATACATAAAGCTAATACCATCTGTCATTGCTATTTCTTATTCCAAATGTATTATAAGTCACAAATATGGTCGCCCTACCGCCAAAACAGAACTCCTTGTCTAAATAACCGAATTTTGCAGTATCTTTAGTGCAAATACGATAATTATCTTATCACTAAAGAATATAACCGATTACTGTCACTAGAGATAAAAAGTAAGAAACAAATGTGCGACCAAGTAATTATAGTTCAATAACCTATGAATTATTCACTTGTTAAGACGAGGATAACATTTGAATGTAAATAATAACACACTTTGATGTGAATCCAGTTTCGGGTCTATGATTTTCCTTTGACCTTGTCTATTTTGAATACCAGGAAACCACGTATCATCCAATATAAAAATAAAAGGTTCCAACATCTACCTCCTTACTACAAAAAACAAATACCAAAACTCACATTTATAGAAAGTCATATATTTTAAGTTGCTTTTTTGCATATCTACGTCTGATTATCATTTCTCAATCTTATCACATTTTTTGGAAGAAGAAGAGAAAATAGAAGAAATAAATATATTTACTACTTCTAAGGGCTACACAAAAACATAATAAGACTTATATTACTAAACATAAAAATTATGTTAATTTAAATTTAACAGTATAACTGCTAGTTGAATAGGATTTTACTTAGCTTATATCAGGCCCGTTTACTTATTTTGTTTCCAGCGTAAAGCAACACTGCATTACATTTATATATTTTGTGTATCTGTATATGCACAAATCCACGTGAAAGACGAGCTCTGTATACCGGTTTCCTTGCAAATGCAGTAGAAAGGTTGTCGACCTCTGCTCTGGCCCTCTACACACCAGACTTATCTGATAAAAAGGTAACAAAAAACTAAACACCAAAAATAGATATTATACCCATAAAAAAGAGATATATGGTAGGGATATTTCTTAAAAAAAGTTTGGAGTTTTTTTTCTCGAAAAATATAAACAATCCTTGGCCGGGTGCAAACCTATTGTAAATGAATTAATTGTGTATTTGCTTTTTAGGGTTTCCGCTTCCCTCTAAACTAATAAATTAAAGAAATCGTATAAATGATGCTAATAAAATCGATAAACAACAATTACGACAACACTATAAAATTAAAAACAATAGTCAATGAAAATGATATCTTTAAGAATTCACCAAATTTATTTTCCATGTAGACCCCATGCTTATGTCTTCCTTTTTCTTAAAATATCAGATTCCATGATAAATACGAACGTATTACTAGGTTGTAATACTTCGTATGGTAGGCGAAAATTCTAAACGACATGTTGAATACAAATGGACATAACTCGACATTCATCTATGCTACATCTAATAATAGCTAACATAATAAGGCAATATCTCGAATGTGGGATGGCGTCACAGAATAGCCGTTACATAAGGAACTGATCGAATTAACCACAAGAAGTACTATTTACATGACACTTAAGGGTTTGTAACAAAATATATTAGCTCGTACGATTTTTATTTTATTTTCAACGCCTGAAACTTCGGATGCTTTGCAGCAGCCATGGTTATGATGAGCGAAAGTAAACTAATTTATTTTGCGTTTTAAACTGTTAAAAGTGTTTAAATGTGTACTACCCGACTTAACTACAGACATTAGAAATAGATAAACACGTCTAAAAATTGTTAACTACTCAACAATAACATCAGACAACTTTGCGGAACATGTGTTGGTAATAAATGGTAATTGATAGTAATATCTTCAAATCGTATCGCATACAAAAGCTACTCCGGTTCTAACGAGCTCAATAGGTAACGTGAAGTGTTATTCTCATGGAAATTACAAGAATGCTATTAGTACGATTTTGTTATGAATTTTTGCATACATTACATAATCCAAATAAGTTTGTTTTAAAACTTAGAGTTGTATATCTGTATTTACATTTCAATTATATAAGAAAATACTGTCTGTAGTTTTCGCGAGTAGTACACATTTAAATAAGACACTTTAACGGTTTAAAACGCGATATATATTAGTTAAACTTATTTGAAAATTACTTAGGGTGCCGTGACACATCGGGCCGTAGTAAAAATACTTATCAAATAAGTCTAAGTAATACTTACATATCGCGTTTTAAACAGTTAAAGTGTTTTATTTAAATTATATAGTAAGTAGCTAATCGGTATTTGAAGTTACTTCCGGATAAGGGTTAAGCATGTTTTTGCAGGAATCAAACTGAGAATCACCTGCCATAAAGCCGAGAAGAAGTTATAAAACTTATAGACAACGTTCGTCATAAATTACTTCTTCAAATATTTGTCTTTAGCACTTGATATTATTTTGACTTGTCAATTAATTTACGAAGTTTTCCTTCCCCAAAGCATATATATATTACAAGTTACAGTTTAATATATAAAATTATCGAAAACTATGTTAGTTACCATACTCGATGGCTTGACGGATTTCTATAATATTCTATATACATAGTATTTAGATAAAACATTTGAATGGTTTATATATTAGTTAAACTTATTTGAATTATTTTTTAACTGCCGCCCGATGTGTTCCCGTAACGTCGGCTGTTGCAAAGCATCCGAAGCGTCGGGCCTTAGTTTTTTTTTTAATAAGTTTAACTGGTATTTATAGCATGTTTTAAACCGTCAAAGTGTTTCATTTAAATGTGTACTACTAGCGTAAACTACAGATAGTATTTATAGTACATAGTAGTTTAGTAGGTTTGAGAATCGGCGTCTATTTATTTTCAAACTCCTAAGTAAAGTTATCGCTCTCGCTCAACTTATATTATGAATAGGATTTTTAATATTTTTTCTTATTATTAGTTATCTCCACATTTTTTTGCCAAAAGGGGGTTAAAAGGGGGATGGAAGTTAGTATGGAAATTCGTGGTTTTTGAAGCTAGAACAATGAAACTTTCTTCTTTGGCTTATTGAGAATAGGAGTGGGAGTAGGGGTGGGCGTGGGCATGGGAGTGAGTGTGGATTACTTACCATAGATTGGCTGCTTTAAATGGACCCTTACATAAATTATTAACAGCCTCAATAATTAAAAATTCTAGCCCAATTCACTATATCACGCGAACGAAGTCGCGGGCACAGCTAGTATAATATAATGGCAAAGCCGTTTACCGAGTCAGCTGGCAATCTAAAACAAATGGCGGTTCACAAACCGTAGTTTATGTAATATGTAAGTAAGCCACAATTTCGTACAAATATGTTTATTAAAAACAATAATAGGATATAAAAGTCAATGATAAAACTGATTGCGATAACTACACAAACGGAGATAAAATTGTTTGGATCCAAAGTCCAGCAAGTTTTACCTCTTATTAATTAGAACATCAAGGTACAGTTTTCAATAAGAATCCGATCAATTCTTGGAGAAACTGAGTGGAGACATTTTGTGATTTAAGTATATATATGGGTTATTTAAGGGGGTACGGGTACTTGATTATATAAAAACATGTACAGTAGGGCCTCGTTAATCCGGAGACGCAAAACAAATCCCTTTACGGATTATCGAGGCGTCCGGATCATAGTGTTATACTTATTTAATATTGATAAAACACATGTTTAACCTTGGTTTCTTTAATAAATGGTTAAAACAAATAAATTATTAACACTAAATAAATTATTTTATAATTATTTTCTCCTGTACTTCAGGTTGCCTGGTAGAGATCGCTATATGCGCGATAATGGCGCCTTTTATTTATAAGTTACAACGTAAGATTTTTTCTTTCATATGTTTTCTGTGGTGTCTATTACCTATACTAATATATAAAGCTGAAGTGTTTGTTCGAACGCGCTAATCTCAGGAACTACGGGCTCGAATTGAAAAATCTTGTGTTGGTTAGAGCATTTATAGAGAAAGGTTATAACACATCGCGCTGTGACTAATATAAGCGAAAATACAGCGGGAAATGTGAACAAAACGGGGGAATTTTTTCTCAGACGCGTACGCTGCGAAAACTGTTCAAGATACCGAAATAATATGTATGAGAGATTAATTCCTCTTTAAATTATCTAAAAAAAGTCCTCGGCAGTACAAGTGTATCTTTTAAGAATAACTTGCAAGAACGGCGGGAAGGTGCGCAACCGACGTCGTGGGTAACAGCCTAAGTTTATAACGGATTTCGATGCCCAAATAAATATTGTTAGCGGAGGAAGTCGCAGAAACAGCTCGTAAACAATAAAGCTATATAATAAATGAATGATATTTCATTTGTTCCAGATAACCAAACCGGACCGCCACGAAACTCGAACTAGTCAATTAAGTTTAATTCTTTTAAAGATGAAATAAGTTTACTTTAGTTTTTATATACTTAAGCACGTACTTATTTGTATAGTTTAAGAATGCAGATTTTAAAAGCTAGGTTCGCTTTGAGAGCGTCTGCCTCACAATTTCAAGCCTGGAGTTCTTCACGCCATCGCACTGCTGCCACTGTAAGTAACTTTATAATTATTAGGCTCTATTGAGTATAACACTTTTAACGGTTTAAAACTCGAAATTTATTAGTTAATTAAGTGAATGTTAAGGTTGAAGTTATATTGCGTGAGCATGTATCAATAGATTGAAATGAGACGATTGGTTAGAGCAACAGCACGAAAAGCCGTGGACACCGGTTGAAGTCCTGTACTGTCTGTAGTTTACGCGAGTAGAACACATTTAAATAAAACACTAAGGTTTAAAACGCGATATATTTTACGGTATTAGGCAACGGTCTCCCTGTTGCAAAGCATCCGCAACTGGTGCAAAGCATCCGAATCAAGCAAGTTTAACTCAAATATATCGCGTTTTAAACCGTTAAAGCTTTTCATTGAAATCTAAAATGAATTTTTAATTATTTAATTAATTTGCAAGTTATTCAACTATTCAAGTACATGGTCGATGGTTAGTTGAAATAAATTCTAAATATGTTAACTCATATATTTTTACGTTTTTAACCGTTAAAAGTGATTTTAAAGTGTACTACACGCGTAAACTACAGGCATTACTTAGTTGACAGAATCCTTAGCACGTGCACATCATGTCGTGGGTTCGATTCCTGCCGTGTGAATCTTATACATGTCGAAATATGTAGGAATTTGTCAGGAAAATCTATACTTTGTTTCTTTAATGTGTCTGAGATTCAATTGTGCTGTAGGTATATAAAAATAATTTCAAATGCTAGAAGAATAATTCATATAAAGTATAATTATCATCTTATAAGTAATAAGGTATTAACAGTTTTGTTAAAATGTTGCTGTAGGATACAACGTTAATTTAGATATTTCAGCCTAGACTTAATGAACTGGTTATAGATAAGTAGCTACAGATAAAGTAATTTATTGATAAGAACAAGGCACGCTGTCAACTAGAGATAACAATTATCATTAATGAACTTGAACGCATCTTTTTTGACCTTTGAAATTAATATTTGAAGCGACTACAGACCATGAGGTCTCGGATTCGAGTCTGGGTTGGATGAAATGTAACATCGCCTCTCAGAACACGTTAATCCGTGGTTATAGACATTGGGGTTGGTCGTTAAAGCCCACCAACCCGCTATGAACCAGCGTAGTAGGTCAGTGTTTTTAGCAGCACTTAAATTAAACATCGATTCTAAATTTACAAAAATTACGCCTCAGGCAGGAATTAAACCGGCACCGACAGCGATCCGTGCTGTTGCTCTAACCTATTGAGCTACCGTGTCTTACATGTCATCGTCGAATTTTTACAACCTATTGATACTTATACCAAAGTGCATTGCTTTGCAAGTATATTAATAATCATATGTTTTCAGGACACACAAAATGTAGAGTACAAGCCAATAAGGAGCGTATTAGTGGCGAATAGAGGCGAAATTGCCATTCGTGTGTTTCGAGCATGTACGGAACTGGGTATTCGTTCTGTCGCTATTTACAGCGAACAGGACCGACTGCAAATGCACAGGTAAATTTTATTTCATCATTTTCGCTTTACGCCCCGGGAACGATACAAAGAGAAAAACCGACCAGTGACCGTCTCTACGACTGCACATTTAGATGACTGCTTAAGTCTTAGCTTTACAGTATCATAAAAGATAAACAATGATGAATATTAATAAATAAAAAAAGTATTTTTCGTAGTAATGAAAGCTTTGTTAATATTTATTTTCTAGATAACCAAATAAATACCCTTGATGTATAGTTCTTATTTTAAAATTTCACACCACAGTGTGATTGAATTTGTGGTGTGGTATGTATTTACAGATAATTATTTTATGAAGTATAATAATTTTTCAGACAAAAAGCAGATGAATCCTATTTAGTTGGAAAAGGTCTTCCACCTGTGGAAGCATACCTCAGCATTCCAGAAATCATCAGAGTCGCCAAGGAAAATGACGTCGACGCCATTCATCCTGGTTACGGATTGCTTTCTGAAAGGTACTAAGAATACTTCCAAACAATTGGATCAAATAATGTCAAAGCTTAAGAAATTGAACTTCAATACGTAACTGTTAGGGTTGATAACACATTAAACGAGAGGTGCATGCAATAAAGGGTTAAAGATGACGTGTAAGACACGATGGATCATTTGGTCAGAGCAGCAGCACGGAACGCTGTGGTAATTTATATAAAAAACCTGACTATAAAAAGTCTATAGTTGAGTACTGATCTCCGATTTCTGATTAAGGAAGATTATAAAGACCAAAGTCCAAAATTTGTGACTAGATTGTTATCTACCAATTTTTGCACCTTGGAGAAAACAACATAAATATTATATTATACCTATATTTTTTTAATTATTAAAATTTCGAATTCTAGATCAGACTTCGCGCAGGCTATCATCAATGCTGGCGTACGCTTTATTGGACCGTCGCCTAAGGTTGTGCAGCAAATGGGTGATAAAGTTGCTGCTAGAAAAGCTGCTATTGAAGCCAGTTAGTATAATTTCCCCACACCTTGAAGCAAGAAAGTGTATTGTTGATTTCGATACTATTTTATTATAAATAATCTAAATTGAATTTTAAGAATAATAAGTTGAAAATATCCTTTTTTTTCAGAGGTTCCCATAGTCCCCGGTACAGACGGCCCGATCACTACAAAAGAAGAAGCTTTAGAATTCTGCAAACAGCATGGCTTACCTGTGATATTTAAGGTGTTTTTCAAAATAATAACACGTATATACACCCTATTTTTTTTAATTTCGTAGAATAATAAATCTTATGTAATATTATTACGAGAGTATTTCAAAGAATAGTCAGAATGTTAACGATATTCTTGTTAAAGGCTGCATATGGCGGCGGCGGTCGTGGAATGCGGGTAGTTCGAGAAATGAGCGAAGTGGCGTCATCCTTCGAACGTGCATCATCAGAAGCATTGGGCGCTTTTGGAAATGGATCTATGTTTATTGAACGCTTCATTGAGAGACCGAGACATATTGAAGTTCAGTTATTGGGTAAGTGAATAATTTCCTTTTTTTAAACCAGGTATCGAGTCAGAAGTATAGACATTTTTATTTACCACTGAATAGTCACGAGACAGGTACACTCAATACATAATTGCCAAATCAAGACCTTTTTATTTTAGTTTAGCTAGATGTGCATTTGTTTTATAAATACATATTTGTTAATATCCAAGAGACAACAGTATTATAATAATCTTCTGTAACAGGTGATAAGGCAGGAAATGTGGTACATTTGTATGAACGGGATTGCTCCGTACAAAGGAGACACCAAAAAGTTGTAGAAATCGCCCCAGCGCCCCGCCTTGATCCTGAAGTAAGTTGCTGTTCCATATGCTAACATCCATGGTTATTTTTTCTATTGGCCGAAATATTCCTAATATAATAATAACTTATTGGCTTCTTAATTTTATAAATATAGCGTTTGTGTATGCTGCAACATTACAAACAATAATACAAAATGGTATAAGGAAAACTAACTTGTTATACTGGCATATGTTTCTTATGTTTAAATAAGCTACAATATAATGATAGAAATGATTTTTCAATTAAGGTTCTTTTTTCAGCATATGGAAACTTGAGATAATTTTTAAAGTTCACAAACTTATAGTAATTCAATAGTATGTTTCATCTATTGCATAATCATACTTTTCTAGACCCGACAACGTATGGTCGACTGTGCAGTGCATTTGGCTCGATACGTGGGCTATGAGAACGCCGGTACCGTTGAGTTCCTCTTGGACGATAAGGGCAACTTCTACTTCATTGAAGTAAACGCAAGGTACGAGTTTTATCCGTTAAACCGCCTGGAAGGACTACGTTAAACATATTTTGAATTCACGAGTTTATTACGTAATTACCCTTATATCACAAAATTAAAATAATAATATTATTTATTTATTTATCCTTTAAAAAAATTCAATAATACTAAAAATATTTCATTATAAAAGTGTGATTTTTATAATAAAATTTAATTATGATATTTTTTCTATGGTATCTTTAAATAAAAACTTTATATCTAAATTAATATTAAGTTATTAAAAATTATTTTATTATTTTTTAGATATTTTCTTTTACTTTATCTTGTTGTATTTACGTCACGTATATTTAATTAATAAATTTAGGTCTATTTTTTAAATTTTAATAATCCATTGTTTTTTAAGTGACTGTTTGTTTCTTTTCCAAATAAAATAAAATAAAAAAAAATAAAATAAAGTAAAGGTCTCTCCAACTTTTAATATTGACAACTTTGAGCTGTCATAGTTTTTTCCCAAAACAAACTCTCCTCCAGATTGCAAGTCGAACACACAATAACAGAAGAGGTGACGGGCATCGATCTCGTACAGTCTCAAATCAGAGTGGCCGAAGGAATGACGCTACCGGAAATGGGTCTCACCCAGGACAAAATAAAGGCAGACGGATACGCGATACAATGCCGTGTCACCACTGAAGACCCTGCTAATAACTTCCAACCTAGTACTGGCAGAATTGAGGTGTTCCGGTAAGATCTCACATTGTTTCTACTCTCTTCTTTACTTTGTTTTAAAAATAATTTCTTGGATATTTTAAGAGTACATTAAGCTGTCAGACGCGGGTAACACCACTAACCCGCACTGGGGTACCGTGGCGGTTCTATCTAAAAAGAATAATCTTATTTTCAGATCTGGCGAAGGTATGGGAATTCGTCTTGACTCAGCATCGACTTACGCCGGTGCCATTATTTCGCCTTACTATGACTCGCTTCTCGTGAAGGTACATGAATAAGAAATTTTCTAAACGGCGTATAAAAATATCCATATTCTACATATTATATATACTTTTAGGTTATATCTCATGCACAAGATTTATCAGCTTCAGCGGCCAAAATGAATCGAGCTCTTCGTGAGTTCCGTATTAGAGGAGTGAAGACCAACATACCGTTCCTTCTTAATGTCCTTGAAAATCAGAAGTTCCTCAACGGTATGTCCATTTTTAGTTTCTTTGTTTCGCTTTAATAGTATTGAAGCAAAAACTATTTACTTTGTAAGAATTATAGTTTGTCATATCTATATTTAAAACAGTTGGTTCTAGCATAACTTAATATCTAATGTTTTCTTGATTTTCCGTTTCAGGGGCGGTAGACACATACTTCATTGACGAAAACCCTCAGCTTTTCATGTTCAAAGCGTCTCAGAACAGAGCTCAAAAGATTCTCAACTACCTTGGCCAAGTCATAGTTAACGGTCCAGCAACGCCATTGGCCACGAATATTCCACCTTCAACTGTCAAACCGTATATACCACCAGTACCATTAGGTAAGTTTTTAAATGGTTGTATTCTCTGTAATTTAAAAAAATAATAATGTGTTATGTTTCTGAGCATACATCCGGCTCGAAGGACCATTGATTGATTAAAAAAACTTTTAAATGTTAAGCGGACATGGGTTAAATTACGCCATATTAACAATTACAGTCTTCATATTAAATTGTATAACCTATTATATCAATATATAATACATTTATTATAAATATCGTAACTATAAAGTTCAGTAGTTATTTGAAAGTAGTTCAAAATGTATTGAATGTTGTATTAATCCGACAAAGTTACTTTTACAGACCGCACCGGGCACGGTAGGTCAAGTATCATTATAGATGTCGCTTTGAGCGTTTCCTGCTTATGACCACGACCTTATCTATTCTTTATCTAATTGCCTCTAGCAGTGAATAAGACTTAACAATAGCGTGGGTATAATTATGTCTCTTTCATTCAAATGCTAAATACATGTGCGTGAAAGAGATAACACGTTTATTTGTAAGTTATTTTGAGTAATATAGATTTTTGCCACTACTTCAAACACCTTTTTTCAATTTACAAAAGAAATAAGCTTTTTTCGTTCTTGTAATAGCAAATTTTACTTTTTGAAGTTCACAATAATTAGAGTTTTGATATAACACCTCGCCGAAGATGATAACTTTATTTCTAAATGTAACCTGGGTTGTGTTTGTCTGAACTAATTATTCGTTATCTTTCCTATAACACAATTTCAGTTGCGTTTCATTTAAACCGGTTTTAGTTCTAAGTGCACACCACGAGCATTGATGCACTGTCATGTTTTTTTTTTTAACTTCAGACCTTTCACCAGAGGCTATTAGGAAACAGGAAATGACTGGTGAAAATACAGGTAAGTGGTACATTTTGTGTTAATAATCGTAGTAACCCTTTCATCTCTTAGTTTGTGTCTTAGAATTGGGTTGCATGTTATCAATGGACTTAACAAAATAAAAATAACATTGAAATAAATACCCACTCTATCATTATAAATGTTGTGCTTTAAAATTTTGACATATAGTATACAATATTAAAATCAATATTAGCTTTATAAAACTCCATTTTAAAAGAGCTAGTGTATAAGTTTTTATCGACATAAGTAGTGCACCAATCATTGAATGCTAAATGCTATCGAAAGGGACAAAATATGTCATCAAATATTAGCTCATATTCTGCTATATGTTTTCTTTCTTCTATCTTAGAGCTTTTTATTTACGATCATATCTCAAGAAATAGCCATTAAGAAAAGCAGTATAAATTAACTAGTAAAATATAGGAGTATCGACTCCTATCCTATCGACCTTAAGGCAGCCATTATGGTCGAAAACCCTAGTAGTTCTGAAACCGCGAAAGCCTTTGTTGTAAATGTACCAGCACTAGCAGTAATAGAACCACCATTATTTCCAGCAATCAAACCCCCGAGGGGTTTCAAACAGATACTGGAAGAAGGTGGACCAGAGGCGTTCGCCAAAGCGGTACGCGACCACAAAGGCTTGTTACTTATGGACACAACGTACCGCGACGCGCATCAGTCGCTGTTGGCTACTCGGGTCAGATCGCACGACTTGTTAGCTGTATCGCCGTATGTCGCTCACAATTTCAGCGGTCTTTACTCGCTTGAGAATTGGGGTGGCGCCACTTTCGACGTAGCTTTGAGGTTAGTTTATTTTTCGTTTAGATACCTATATGATGGAGATGAATTCATTAGGGATCAAGCCTCAAACCATTACAAACCAAAAATTCTTTTTTATCGTATCTTGTCTTTTATCGGACTTTTTGTTGTGTTTGAGGTTAGATTGACTAAGTGTGCCCGAGGGGGAATTGGATATGACTTCTTTGGGGATCAGGTTTCAAAACCATTACCTCGGTTTTTTATTAATTATATCGTATTTTGAAATCTAATCTAAATGCTCCTTATGACAAAAGATATTGTTTTCTTTCTCTTCTTGATGTCCCATGATAATAAAATTCAAGGTTCCTACACGAGTGTCCTTGGGAACGACTGGAAGACATGCGTCGTCTGATCCCCAACATTCCATTCCAAATGTTGCTTCGTGGAGCCAATGCTGTGGGCTACACCAACTACCCCGACAACGTTGTTTACAAGTTCTGTGATATGGCGGTAAGTTAAACTATTAGTAACATAATGTGAATAGGATATCTGTACTAATATTTAAAGCTGAAGAGTTTGTTCGTTTATTTGTTTGAACGCGCTCATCTCAGGAACTACTGTCTTGAATTGATTTTGTATTTGTGTTAGAGCATTTATTTAGAAAGGCTACCAAGCATCGTGCTGCAACTTATAGGGGCGAAGGAACAGCGTGAAATGTGAAAAAAACGGGGAAATTTATTTATCCTTGTGGCTTTATACGGTACAAAAACGGTTGAAGATACCCAAAAAAATGATAATAAAAGAATGATTCCTCTATAAATGATCTTAAAAAAAACGTCCGCGACATCTCTCTTAAGATTAATTTACAAGAACGATGAGAGGCGGACAACGTCGCTGGTAACAGCAGATTTAGAAAGAGGAGGTTTGCCTAAACAAATTTTGATGCCGTGGACACAGCTAGTTAATTTGTATAACTTAGACGATTTTTTTTTTAATTTTGTTTTTTTGTCGTTTTGTACTAGATGTGTCCTTAAATTAAGTGTCCCTTTTGCAGGTAAAAACCGGTATGGACATATTCAGGGTGTTCGACTCTTTAAATTACTTACCTAATCTAATACTCGGCATGGAAGCAGCTGGTAAAGCTGGCGGAGTTGTTGAAGCAGCGATATCGTACACTGGAGACGTATCCAATCCTGAGAAGACCAAATACGATCTTAAGTACTACGTTAATTTGGCTGATGAGCTTGTGAAAGCTGGAACACACGTCTTGGGTATTAAGGATATGGCTGGGTTATTGAAACCGCAAGCTGCGAAGTGAGTTACAAAACTAGACTATATAATACTTCTCTAACTACTATACTGTGTTTTAAATTAGAAAAGCAATATAAGGCAATATATGTTATGTAATATCAAAGATTATTGTACATGAATACTGAATTTAATAAATAAATGCTAAAAACCCACCTCCAAAAATCCAATATAGATTGTAATTTTCCAGATTGCTTATATCAGCGATTCGTGATAAACACCCCTCAGTCCCGATTCACGTACACACGCACGATACAGCGGGTGCGGGCGTGGCGGCAATGTTAGCGTGTGCCGAAGCGGGCGCGGACGTCGTAGATGTCGCTGTCGATTCCATGTCTGGGCTTACAAGTCAGCCGAGTATGGGAGGGCTGGTGGCTTCATTGCAATCTACACCACTTGACACTGGTTAGTTCATTATTATATTTAAAAACATATATAACACAAACCATGTAGACATTAGAATTTATTTATTAGAGAATTTGTCTAAAATGTTATTTGCAATTCGGTGTTCAGGTTTAAACTAGTCCACAGTAGAATTCTCTTAATTGTGGGCTACTTTTTTTTCGATGCAAGAACAATAAACTTATGTAAGCATGTTTAGTTCCGTTAGTAAGTTCTTACATTCCAATCGAAAAGTAAAAAATATTATATATCTTATTAAAGTAATGAATAAATCTATCAAAATATATATTTGTCGGAATGATCACTAGTACAGTTTACCAACGGACTTTCAACTACGTTTCGTTCTAAAGTTGTCAGTAAAAGCAAAATGGATAAAAGGGAAGACTTCATCTACTCTAGGCTTCGTGCTAAGTTATATTTATATATTATTTATTATTTAGAAGATACATTTTTAATTCTAGTAGTAGTAGTAAAAGTATTTAAAACTGTTTTGTTAGCTATAAATGACTCATTTAGTGGACGTAGATACATACGCTTTAAAACAATTTTTAAATCTTAAAATTATTTACAGGCATTCCACTACAGACTGTATCGGAATACTCAGCGTACTGGGAGCAAGCCCGAACTCTATACGGACCCTTCGAATGTACCGCTACCATGAAGTCTGGTAACGCCGACGTTTACATCAACGAGATTCCTGGCGGACAGTACACCAATCTACAGTTCCAGGCCTTCTCACTCGGTCTTGGCAGTCAGTTTGAGGAGGTTAAGAAAGCGTACAGGTAACTCCTGGTTCTTAAATGTTATCATATCAGAGTCGACAATTTCATTGTTTTATCGTACCCTTTGTTCTTAACATTGATTATTTGAGGGCATGACTTCATATTTTTATTTTTAATCTTGTCTGTAGTTATTGTGAGCAGTACATATTTAAATAAAACACGTTAATCGTCTTAAAACGCGGTGTATGCTTAGTTAAATTAAAACTACTAAATTTAGAGATACAAACTAATGTAACATGATAAGAATCTATATTATTAGGAATTATAACATTATATATGTAAATAAATTATTTCCGATTAAAATAAAAATAAAACCTTTTTCAGAGAGGCAAATCTTCTCCTAGGCGACATCATCAAAGTGACACCATCCTCGAAGGTGGTCGGAGACTTGGCACAGTTCATGGTGCAGAACAAACTGACAGCTGATGATATCAGAGCGAAAGCTGAGGAACTGTCCTTCCCTAAGTCTGTGGTTGAATTCTTCCAGGGCGCGATTGGTATTCCTTATGGAGGATTCCCTGAACCTTTAAGGTAAGTTAAAGTCAAAAATATTTATTCACGTAGGCACATATATTAAACGTCACAGCAGTTTAAAAGTAAAGAGACTAAAGAAAAAACTCAAATCGAGAGCGTAGAACGAACGAGGAGAACTGGCAAGAAACTCGCTGCCACTCCTTTTACAGTCTATTTTACGTAAGAGGAGTACTTAGCTACTTTAGAAAAGGTTCTATATAACATACCTTGCCAGGTACATCAGAAATACAATAAGCAGACAATGCTTAGTATTTAAAAAAACACTTTACAGTAAGTTAACCGGAACTCAAGTTTGAAAAATATCTTATATTCATATTTCATAACCAGGTCCAAAATCTTAAAGGATATGCCAAGAATAGAAGGTCGACCTGGTCAAGAACTACCTCCGTTAGACTTTGATAAACTGAAGAAAGACATACAAGAGACATACCCTGAGGTAAGTTGTATTACATACATTTGTTAAATTTTGTCTTCAGCTTCAATCAAGATGCGTTATCGACCTTTTTATACGTAAGATAAAGAGAAACTATTGTTTGTCAACACTTCGCATCTTTTCTTTGTCAAAAAATGTAACATTTTTGAAAAAACCTATTTCCAAAGTTCGCTGGCAGCCAACTAAGAACAACTTAAGAATCATTAAAAACTAATTTAATAAGATAAAAACCCTGCAGGATCAATCGATAGAATGTTAGTACTATGAAGTGCGTTATGACTCATTTTTGTGAGTTCACTTATCAAACCTACAGTCATTATGGTCAATCAGCACAACTTGTAATCATTTTTTAATACAAACCTTTACATGCTACATTCTATCCATTTAATATAAGCATGTCTCTTATGCTCCATACTATGACTATTACAGGTTAACGACCAAGACGTGATGTCGGCGGCCATGTACCCACAAGTAGCGAACGATTACTTCCGCATCCGTGATAAATACGGACCCGTGAAGCATCTGGACACGAAGACATTCCTCGTTGGACCTAACGTATGTAACATCAAACATACTAAAAATATAACAGAATTGGTTTTTAAAATTAAGTTAAAAGCCCATTTTATCCACTCTGCTTTCAAAAATTGCGTTTATTGATGACAAGGTGGACGAAATAATTATTTTTGAAACTAATACTGTTTATCAAGTTTTGCCCATAATTTATACGAGTACACATTTAAATGAAACACTTAACGGTTTCAAACGCGAAATGTATAACATTACGGTGGTGCCCGACCACGTCCCTCCGTGACCATGGCTGCTGCAAAGCCCGCTCGGATTGTAGTTAAAATAAACTGTAAATGAGTTAACGAATACATTTAGCGTTTTAACCGTCAAAAGTGTTTAATGTAAATAATATTGTTTAAATTTGTGCATGCATTTTGTGCCGTTGCTGGAACATACGCTGAAATATCAAAATACAAGAAGCATTTATTATTTGTCTTTGTTGTTGACATCATATTCGTTTTCCGAGGAGTCACACTTGAAATCATGGCCTAGTGTTGTCAGTACCTTTAGTAATATTATCCTCTATTTTAGGTGGGTGAAGCGATTGAAGTAAAAATTGAGCGCGGAAAGACATTGGACATTAAAACACTTGCGGTTTCGGATGAAATGACGGCTGCCGGCGAGAGAGAAGTTTTCTTCGAGTTGAACGGACAATTACGATCTGTGTTTATTAGAGATGAAAAGGCTAGCCAGGTGAGATGCCCGTGAAGTTAAATAAGAGAAGAAGCGTAGGATACGTACTATTAGAGAGGAGGGGGTTGGAAAAAATATAAGTGGTTATACAACAAATATATCGCTTATTTTCAATCAAGTATGCAGATAATTTTATCATTCGATTTCAATTTATATTTCTATGCAGGAAATGAAAATCCACCCGAAGGCAGTTAAGGGCGACAAGAGTCAAGTTGGCGCACCAATGCCTGGAACGGTTCTTAGTAAGTTTTCCGCTTTTAATTTTTTTATTGGGTACTGTTTTGAACTAGCAATATCGAATATGTTAAGTATTCAGTGACCATAGTTGTCGATTAATCAAATATTTGGTTATAGATTGACTTATTGACAGTTGACAATGTGGATGTATTGTCAATGTACCATGTTTAAGATGAACTCTTTTACAGCAATCAAAGTCAAGGAGGGCGATAAAGTGGACAAGGGACAAGCAATAGCTGTTCTCTCAGCCATGAAGATGGAAATGATTGTCCAGGCACCACAGGCCGGTACCATTAAGTCTGTTTCCATAACCAACGGTCAGAAACTAGAAGGAGATGACCTTATTTGTACTATTGAGGAATAAAGGTCAAGTTACCCTTCAATAATATTGGCGTTGGAATATGTAATTCCAGCGATCTAGATTACAGGTCTCACATTTACATTAGAAATGTAGTTTGGTATAGAAAGAGATTTAAATTATTTAAATAACTTCAAATATCATATAATACTGTAATTTCAATTTTCCGCACAAGAAAATTACTATTTCAGGCCATTTCAGCCACAACTAATCCTTAAGTAAGATCTAAAAGTGACTAAAATTACTGCACTCCAATGTGAAATTCTATATAAATTGAGTTCAAAATTAACTATAACTATTAGAAAATGAAACCCTAGATGTAATTAGTCGTAGAGAGTCAAGTAAGCGAATCTGTGTTATAACCATAAAAAATATATATATATAAACAAAGTACAAAGGTCTAAAGAAAATTTTGAAATTGACATAAATTGGTGGTTAGACTTAAATTAGTCCAACTAATCTTTTAAAACATAGAGACGAACTTTCTTAGATTTTTTATATATCGTATTTCAAAGCACAAATAATTATTTTCATCACATATATTGATTATTGTTATTGTTTAAACTTCGTCATTTGGAAGTGTTCTTATTTAGGAATGTGAATGTAAAACTCTTATTAAGTTATATTTTTTTTTCATATTTTTTATATCTAAAATGATTTCAATATAATGATTTTCAGACTCTGTTTATTATAAGTTAAGGTTGTTTCTTAAGCGATTTTTTTATATTCCACGAATAAAATTTGTTTATAAAAGACATTATCGAAACAATCTTAGTTAATTAGTTCAATCAAATGGTGCTCACTGTTATTTTTGTTACTTTTCCAAATAAATTTTAATTATTAAATGTTTCATAAATTTATTTAATTATTACCCAAATCGAAGACATGTTTCCAAATTCGCAGTTTTTGGAATATTAATAAAAAAACATAGTTAGTTTAAAAAACTATATTTATTATTTAAGTCATGAAACTTGATAATATATTTTTATATAGAAAATTATAAATTATAGTCTAAACATTCGTTAGTAGACTAAGTAATTTGAGATTAAAAGCTATTTTACTATGTCCAAAAACTTATGTACAAATAAGTTTAACGGTTCTTTATAATTTATATATGCATGGTGAAGATGAAACAAGACGAAATATACAAAATGACATACATTTTCTAAATCATTATTGATTCATTAAAAAAAAACAATATATTCACCAAGAATATAAAACGTTATGTAATTATGAAACTGATATAAAATAGGGTCTATAGTTTATGCGAGTAGTACACATTTAAATAAAACACTTTAACGGTTTAAAACGCGAAAAACTAGTTAAACTTAGCTACAATATTAATTAAAAAACTGCAAAGCATCCCAAAACGTCGAGCTGAAGTTAAAAAAATCATTTTCAAATAAGTGAACCGAATACATCGCGTTTTAAACCGTTAAAGTGTTTTATCTAAATGAAACTGATATGTTGAATAATGCTCAGTAAATAAATATCTACAAGTTCAAAAAACTATTCTAGTAATTAATTTATGGCAGTATAAAAAAACAATACACGAAGCCTAAACTAAAGGAACATAAATACGTTGAACGACGCCTCACATAACTACCCTCAAATATTTTGAAGGTAGGCGATGTTACGCTAAGCTGCTGATTTAAGCTTTGATTGTCACAGTCGATGTCCTTTTGGTAATTTATAGGATAATTATTTACGTATTACCCATAACAGGGTTTTGTTTTAATATATTTTAATTCCGATATTGTTCTATATTGATATTGTTCCGCTGTTATATCTGACAAGGTAATGACTGTCAGTACGATCGAAGCCGTAATCCATATTGCTGGTTCCTATAAAACGAAACTCCTAATATCAATTGCTTCAATGCTGTTAAATGTTTACAATGTTAAAAGGTCCGACTAAACAATAAAAATTATTATACACACAGAATTTGGTCCCTAACTAAAGTAATGAGCAATATGCTTATAAACTAAAATTTAAATTATAAGTCTATAAAACTATATGTTAAACGGTGTGCTTTCAAGTTTAGATGAATTAGAATAAAATGGCAAAAAAATATTTGTTATAAAAAAAATGATATAATGCTGTGACCCTTAAATTTAATGTAAAATACACATAGCTCTTCGACTAAAGATTTAAGTCATATTACAATATGTTTTAGCTTTTTATTTAAACCAAAAATTTGATATATCAACTGCCTATATAATTATCAAGTCCTACCACGAGATCATGTTTCTATGAAACTCATTGCTGTCTAAGTTATAACAATTTTATTTTTAATCTTTAAAAAGGTCATATTATACAACAAAATGTTTTCGACTTCGAAACAGTAAATGACGTTACTTCATATAAATTAAATTAAAACTGTAGAACAATTAGATATCTTGTTCTTATACAGTCTTACTTTAGTCAATAAAATAACTCTACACAAGTTAAAATGATTACATCAAAGTCAAATCGCTTTGCTTTAAAACTGCACAGTATTTTTCTTATTCCGAAGCACTTTGAGAAGTCTTAACGCAGTGACATAATATTAAGCTAGTGCTTTAAAGAACACGTAATCGTTAACAATTAAATACAAATTGTTAGATTGTTGAAGTCGAATAACACCTAAGCGCAATTACATAACAAAGCGTTATATAAATATCGTAACAGGCAGGTTGTAACGACCCATCCGATGATAAGGACTGTATCCGTCATAAGACCAAAATTATCTGCAGATATTTCAAGTTCAGTCCAACTCCCCTGGATGGTGCAACAGACTCTTATCAATCAAAGTGTCACTGAACGCGTCACTTATCTGAGCTATATCACTGATGACACCGCTGTCAGGTTTGATGTCCTTGTCTTCAAGGTCGTTGTTGGAGTTGATGGAGTTAGGGTCGCTGAGGCTCAAGCTGGAGTCCGCCTCTTCTCCGTAACAGCGCCGCTTATGGTCGGACGGGAAGTTGTTGTACGAAAGTTGCTCTACGCGGATAGCTTGCATTGTGTTGCTGGAAAATCAATGAGAGAATAATAAACGTGATGACACCATTTTATATACTTTATTAAATGTAAAATGACGAGCCGAACTATGTAATACTTTGAAAATGAATTTTGCTTACAGCCTTACAAGAGATGTCGAGTGGGATAGCCGTGTTGAATTAGAAAACTGTAAATCGGATGGACTAACTATAAGGCATTATACAAGGATGTGTGAGATGTCTTGATTGCCTTGTCGCAGTGCTGCCATCTGTCTTCATCTATTTTCATCAAATCGTCTGGATAGTTCGTTCGGGAAGCAATTGAGTGTTAAGTAACAAAAGTAGTCGTCTAGTACGGTCTGTCGCGTAATAAGTTACGCACTGCCGCTATACCGAAATTACTGCGTTTTCAAAAGTATTAAAAGTTAGAATGGAGTTAATAGTTGCGTGCCTTCATTCTTACGTTAATTCGTTTTGGGTAATTTCAATAGTCTTTTACCGTACGAAAAGACGTTTTATTTAGAATTATTTCGGGCCACCTGACAATACTTCGTTAAGTACATTCTCAATTTCCGTATTTGAAATCAGATATACGCGAAAACATTGTATCGTATATTTAGTCAAACAGCATAAAATACATACTTACCTAGTCTTCCGCAGCACCGGCCTCCCCATCTCAACTTGCAACTCCAAAGAGTACAATTTAGCAAGCGACTCCAACTTCTCCTTTTCCTCAGGATCATGCAAACTTGGCAATTTCAGCTCTGACTGACAGGAATCCTGCAGGAACCTGGACAGCTGTTCGTTCGCCGCACTCAAAATGAGTAAGCCAGGTCTTTCGTCACGTATGCGTCTACACCCAGCCCTTATTTCCCTCACCTCAGTAACGTTACCCCCCAATGAATGTTCGCTGCAGTAATGGTCGCTTTGGGGCGACTTTTCGCTCAAATTGAGATCACTCGACGACGTTTTCTGAAGCGTGAAATTCAGTCGCGGCGAATTGAATTCTTCCTTTTTCTGGTACGTTTGAAACGAATGAAAGAACGTTTTATCCGCGTTTAGACCCGACGGCCCGGCGTTCTTAATATCGCTGAACGTGGAAAAAGAAGAGTGAGGCAAAACTCCTGGCGGGACCTCCTTACTTGTATGTGGCAACTCTTCTTTTACGAGGTCTTTACCTGTATAATCATCGTCGTCTAGATCGACAATAGTTTTCGTATCCGACATAAGAGCATCTTCGTTCCCAGAGTCTACCTTGGCTCTCTTCTTTTTGTTTTTGTTCTTGCCCCAGGGATTTTTCGTTTGTATCTTCTCCTTTTTCAACCGTTTTGGTGGTGGCATATTGCTTATGGATTTTGTCAAGTTGTTCACGGACTTTGTTGATTTAAATGTAAGGCTCTTGTTAAACACTTTTAGTTCCTCAATCCCGGGCCAGTCTGTTAGCTCATCGTCACCTTCTCTATCACTGTCTCCATTCACACCATCAGAATCACTACTGCTTAGAGAGCTGCTTTCATTTCCACACTCCATACCAGCCGAGTCGTCAAATTGGAGTGGATTTCTTAAGGAGTTTGGTGAATGTGACTTGCTGAGGACCTTAATCTTTCTACTATATTTTGCTTCTCGGTTATTATTCAAACAGGATGGACTAAAAAACGGTGGTAGGTCTGTAGAAATTGTGTAACCGGTCATCTTAGACAGAACTGGGGTACCATTTTTTGAAGAGTTCTTATAAACAAAGTTAAAACTTGAACTGCCAGGTAGAGTTGGAGTGTTTGTAAATGGAGATGAAGCAGAATCATCTGACGTTTGCGGTTTAAGAATAATTTTTCCAGGTTGCAACACTTCCTTTCTCTTCTTTTCAATGTCATGCTTCTTGGATTTAAAGTCGTTTTTAAAGTATATCGATTTGGAGGAACAACCACCGCTAAAGGATCGTTCTCGCATTTCACAACCATCGCCTTTATCTCTGTGTGACCATTTCCTTTTGCCACAAAAAGCGTTTCTGGAACAAGGGTGGTTATTGAGTATAGCATTTGCTTTAAGCAAACAAACAATAACATGGAAAAGGGTTGTACAAACTTACCTTTCCTGCTTGTGTTTTGATATATGAATAAGTGGTGATAGACCTGTTTGTTGGTTTATGCCTTGCAAACTTGGCTGAAAATACAAGCATTTAGTACATCCCTTAAAGCTTAAAGTTTGCAACAAGTTTGTTAAGTTTAAATTTCAAATCTGTTATGTTAATAAAAAAAAATCACAATATTTCCTTTAAGTTCATTCATACAAGCTGGAAAAATTTAAGAATTTCATAGAATCATCTCTCATTCATTTGAACACAGAAACATCAAAGGAACAATTAATTTTTTTATCAAATGTAGATTATTAAACTGTCAAACTTACTTAAATAGGGAGTGAAAAAGAAACTACTTTGGACTTCTGAAATATCAGCAGTAACACTTTTTTATGAACCATACCTCGTTAGAAATGCTCAATATTTCTATCGGTGGTGAATGTTTCCCATCAACATAGTCCATAGGCATCTTTTTAAACTTGCGCTTTCTTCTGGTATTACATGGGCGACTCGGAGAGAAGTTTTCATTGAAAGAATCTGACTCAAAATTGCCAATTTGACAGTAGTGACGAGATTTAATAGATGCATGCACATTAACATGGGGGTCGTCTGAGTCCGAGAGTGGTTGTGTGATGACAGGTGCTTGGGGAGGGCTACTGGAGCTTCCATCGTCCACTAAGCTGACTGCTACTGCAGCGGCTGCTAAAAAAGCCTCTATTACAATCAATAAAAGTTATGTGCTTTGTATTGTATTTTTCAACATAATAACATAAGCTAATTTTTAATTTATATTTGTGATTAATGTATAATTTTTAGCTTCATAAAATAAAATAAAATAGTATGGAAGATCCCAAAGCAATCACATAAGTCATAATGTGATTACTTTTAAATAAAATTAACTACTTAGTATGTGTAACATAAATAATTATTAGCATAATAAATAGAAAGGGTAAAAATTGCAAATAACAAGTACATAGGTAATAGAAATTTTATATAAAAAAAACTGATCTTCATACACCCATTAATTCTTCTCTTTTAGTGATTATCATAGTGATAGATACAACCTTATGTTTATTTTAATAGATTAGGATGTTTGTGAAGGCTTTAATATTAAATCTTATCTGTTGGCAAAAACGCGAGTGGAAAATCAGGTCAAGGTCATGTATTCGTGATAACAATAAACAACTTACGCAAATTTCCAGCTGAACGGGTTCTTCGGCGAAAACCCAGCTTCCTGCGTTCCTGCCTGCAGTTGCTCTCTTCTAAAGCCAGGTTCAAGTCATGCGATAACCGCTCCATACTTCACGCACAACGCGAAAATATCATGGTCGCGTAATAAGCTACATCTAGAACCTACGATGCCGGTTTGTTTGTACACCTTTGTGTGTCCTACTTTGTCCTTTCACGAAGTGAATAGATTTTATTCATTCGGTTACTTCTCATTTACATATAATTAGGGAAACCATTAGCATTTTACAATAATGTTAATTACAGGAGAACTAGAAGATTTGCTAAGTTATTACACTATCTCACTTTTATATACAAAAGTAAATGGCCTATTTATCTTCCAATTTAAAAGCGATTATTGAATAACAGAACTGAAATGGTTATGTTTATATCATACACAATATTTATTTACAATTCAACAAATCACTACACATCAGAGCTAAATTATTATTACTTTTTATTTTATTATTGAAAGTCGTCCTAACTTGCAATCATAGATATGTTAAAATTATAGCGTATAACAATGTCACTTAAACTCCTAAAAAGTAGAACCATAGATAAAGAATATATTCTTAGCCGTAGATACGCATGTGAATGTTAACGTTTAAATCTTAATTAATTCGTATGAATATTTACACTCTGATAAAAGCTGAAAGCTGCTTCTTAACTTATCCAATGAGTTAATTATTAATTGTATTATAGTTAATTTATATTCCAAATTTTGAAAACAGTCTGTGCTTTTTTTCCTAACTGTCAAATGTGTCAATTTGCGCGCCAATTTTCTGTTAGTTTTCAAGTTTATGGTGCCCGAGAAACGTTATTAATATTATACCAATTGTTTTCATCAAAATAGTCCAAAGGGTGCGTATATTATGAATGCTATTGATTTTGTTCGGGTTCACTTCTTTATCGTTATTTCTTATTACCGTACTTAAAATATACGGACGTAAGTTAAAAATTACCTACGCACCCCTTCATTAACTAACCGTTTTCTGATGCATCACCTACCAACCCCCATTTGTAACTGTTGTTTTTTTTACAAACAACAAATACAATTCTTTTTATAGAATTGATTTCCTATAATCGGTTTTATAGTAATATTACGTTATAAGCATAAAGATGTATGACTCGGAGAGCGTTCGTTGTTTTTCGTAATACTTCGTGTTTAACAAAAATGCAAAATTTTGTAAAAACGAATACTCCTAAGAAAGTATGATAAATGTTATTCAATACCAAATTATAAATCACATACTATACTTTAATTTAGTTTCTACAAGTCTAAATTTCTAACTTAAAAAAATAGGGTAGTCTTCCATTAGCTCCATACATTACACAATTACTATATTCTATTGGGGACACCAATAAAAGGCTGGGTGCTCAGTCCACACTATCTGCTGACTATTTCACCCACTTCACTATTTCCTCCTTGTAAACATTTATTTTACATGTTTACATTATACTTTAAAAGGATATTAAAAGTCTTCCAGATACTATGGAGGACCCCACTGCCGACAATCTACGTCGGAGGCGTGCTGCCCTAGCAGAGATACCAGCAAGATTGGACCGTCTCCGCATGACACCACTTCAACCAGTGTCTGTCAACACTAGGATGTCACCAGGGATACCTTCTGGATATTTGAGTCCAGCACCCTCTCCAGAAGAACAGCTTATACAACAAAGGGGTATGTATGGCTGAGAACAAAGTAATTTGTTTTTCAAATGTGATTCATGGGCTGGATTGAATCTTTACATGTTTTTTTTTTATTGGGGACACAGATCGGTCTGCATAAATTGCTAAACATTTCACTGTTACATGGAGAAAAAAATCAGTAATTCTTTAGTATTAATATTATTTCCTACCAAGGACACCTATAGAAGGCCAGATGATTAGTACACACCACTAATTATCATCTGGCCTTCCATCAGCTGACCCTTTACACCATTTCCTCTTAGCAGAGGATTTTGGGTTATCCAACTTTTACTCTGTTCTTGTAATTTTTTAGTAGAACATACAATTAGTAGGAAATTGAAAAAGTCTTTATTAATCTAAGGCTGGCTCTGATATTTGTGGCACATAAAAAAACATATAACTGTAATACTGTAATAAAATTCCAGGGAAATAAGTGTAATGGCTTAGCAATCATATTTGCCTGTAAATAAAATTAAATTGTAATAGTGTTCAGAAATGTGTCAGCAGCCTTACCCACGGAAATAAGATTTCACTTCTGATAATTGCTAAAAATCTTAAACAGGATTAGTCTTATTAAATCGAAATTTAGTGCAGATTGATTTACATTAATAATAACATATCAATTTTAATAATTACATAACATCATAGTTATATATATATAATACATACATATTAAACTATGATTTATTTATAACTATGATAACTTGATTTTTAATTTTCTAATAATGTCTGTTCACCATTATTTCAGGTCGTAAGCGTATACCCGCTAATTGGTCACCTGATATTGATATGAAACGTAATTCAACATTTCATTCTGCTGTCAGGACTCCCCCTAGAGAGGGTACAAGTCGCGATTCCCCCCCCAAACTGGGCGTAACATTGCGTTCGACACCCCGTAAACGACTAATGCTAGATAATGAACGTGTACCGCTTTCACCAGAGAAAATTGACTTCAGCGATCTTAGTACACCGCAGAAATTCAAGATCGACAATAGCCCTGCCAAAGTAACGCCGCCTATAAAACGTTGTAGACTGGACAAAATGTTAGATCCAGATTACAAAGGACCAATAGATACTCCATTAAAAGGTTTAAGTCCCACTCAACTCATTAACATGATCAAAAGGATAACATACAAACATCCGGAGATAGAAGATGAGATTCGTCAGGAAATGCCACAACCAGACATATCACCAATGGAAGAACGATTAAATTACTTGAAAAATAACATATTCAAAAGCCTACCTACATCTAGACTGACCTCAAAAACTGATTCACCAGCATATTCAAGGGTTTCCACACATCTAGCTGCTTTCAAAAAATGTCTGATAGATCAAGGGAAGACATTAATCGAGTCCCAGCATTGGGAATCGGTGTTGCAGTATGTTTTTCTAGCTTGGAGTTACGTTAGGGCCACTCCAATCTGGGATAACCAGCCACATAATGCTTGTAGGAAGCAATGTTTCAAGGCCCTCTTTAATTTTTGTGCAACCGCATTGAAAAAAGGTGCCTTCACTCAAGACGTGTTGATAGATATCCAAGATAAGCTGCAATCTATGGAATCAGATAGCGAAGATATTAGGTCAAGCATTAAGTTTGTACAAGGGTTGTTGCAAACTACTTAAGGTAAAACATAATAAGCCTGTCACTTAACTAAATAAAAAACAAATGTGTATCCTAAAATACTAAACATTAAAAGGAATAATACAAATAAATAAAATCAAAGATCAAGATCAGAATATTTAAAATATAAAATTTAATTTTATATTTTTTCAAAATTATTTTTTTGATTTGTAATGTCATTGTAAAGTCTAGCATTTTCAATAAACCAGGTTTGAGATCAAAAAGAAATCTGAAATTGATACAACTGGTTTAAAATACCTAGTAGCTTAGGATTAATTTGGGCTGTTTATTGCTTTGGACGATTACGTACGCAGTGATAATACCTCATGAATTTAGTATGCTTAATCTAGAACTGAATTGAATGACTGATATTTTCTTTAATTTTCGTATATTTAATATAAATAAGATAAGATGAGCGAGCTCATTTGAACATTGAGACAGACTCCCTAGATTTCTTAGTCCCATCAAGTGCCTAGTAGTAGTGGTAGTACAGATGTTCTTCCAGAGCAACTTCCCTGCACCTATGTGGGTAGTTTCTTTGACTCACTCCTCTAGTAGAGTTGGACGTACCGGCTCGATGCAAAGGTTCGTGTAGTTCGATTTTTTAGACTCAGTACATTTTAATTAATGCTTATTTTGTATTGCTTTGTTAATCATAAATTTGAATTAGGCAAATGTCTGATTTCACACGATTGCGTTAAGCATGAAGCTTTCTGTATTGAGAATTTTCTTAGTTTGAATTATATCGTAGTTCTATTTTTGAAATTTTTTAAGCAAACCATTCGAAATACAAAACTTTTTTTTTGATACATTATTTTTCATCATTGTGTTCATAACAATATTTAATCTTTAATTTCTTTGTGCCTTGTAAGTTATTTTTGATGACCAAATATGAATCTAGTGTAAGTGTAAGTGTAGCGTAAGTCATTAATTAGTTTGTTTGTTTTGGTTTAAATAAAAATCAGTTTTACGTAAATGGTTTTACTGAAATTAGGTTGGTGGGTCGACACAATAAAATTAATTTATATATTTATTTGATGAATTGCACTTGTACAATATACCTAACATGTATATGTATAACTACAATGCAAACTGTACATCGCCTTTGTGACTAAATTCATAAACCTAGCATTTTGCAGATGAAGGTTAGTATGTTTAAAAACTGCATTCTACTAGCTGATTTATGCACAGTATTTTAATTTAAGAGTTTAAGGTTTCATAAAAATCGGTTATAACTGGTCTCCTATATGTCCTTGTTGCGTTTCTTACGATTTAACTTTTATTTACTAATTTAAAGTAATTAAACTTTACAAGAGAAAAATTTAGTTGCAGATTGAAGCTCACAAGTTTGAATAAATTGTCAGTTAAATACTGTAGTTTACGCTAGTAGTACATATTTAAATAAACTTGTTGTTTCTTCGGCCCGACGTTTCGTATTTGTTTTATTTTGTCTTACATATTAGACGCCATTTTAAATACTATTCATCTCTTCCTGACAAAGGAACAGGGGTAAATGCAAATATATGTATGTTCACATACCGTTAAATTGAAGTATGAAATATTAATATATTTTTTTATTGGTCAAAAAGTCTGCATGACGTATTCGCAGTTTGTTTGTCTGAGCTGTTTTTTCAATTATTGTATTTCAGTCGCGTTTTAAACGCCTGTGTTACCAGTCATGTCGGTCGTGGAATTCACTGTGAATGGGAGAAAATGTCGCGGTAAGTTTACATAGTACAGTATTTAAATAGAAAATAATACAGGCTCATATATCACGTTATTGTTTACTGTAATAAAGATATTTTCAAAAACAAATGTAAACAATAGTTAAAATTGTAGCTTTTAAAATATTTTTCTACTGCCGAGATAAATAATTAATAAAAGTATCAAGAATATGACAGGATTGTTTAGAATCCAAAGTTTCTTATAATATCTCCGCAGTCTACAAAATATTTCACTTCCTTTGTTTTTTTGGTTCAAATACCATCTTTTTTGGACCAGGACTGCTGCTTCGCCATGATACTATTTATTTTCTTTAAAAATGCATACAACAGTTCGCTATATTTCATAGATGTGTGTGTTGTTTTATAAATTATCGGAAGCAAAAGCTCTCGGTGTTCTTAGTAAAATTATATTTAAAATAAAAACGAGACAAGTGTGTACTTGAACCATAATGACATCTACCTTGAGGAATGAATCTAAACGACTATAAAACCACATTTAAGTGCATATTATTGCTATGGTAAACGATAGGATAATATTGCCGAATATTACAGCCATTATATAGGCAAACTCATTATCTCAACAGTACAGTTCTATTGTAATCAAACTATTTATTTATGCATTTTATGTTGAATAATTTACATTTCCATTTGAGTAATTTGACTATAAAAAAATATATATTAGAACTAACTAACAATTATCACTTTGATGATAGGACCATTGTTTAATTTTGTTTGAGGTCGTTTAAATAAGCTTTCGAAGGGTCGTGAGATTTTATCAAGGGTTTGATTTTTTCGTAGATACTTAAATCGCTGAATTCATTACTTTGTCTTTATTATATCTTAATAAACGAATCACTTGGTAGATCATGATCTAATGCCCCTTGGGCCACCCTTGGTATAGCCGCAAACAGGGAACATAACTACAGCGATATCAAGTACGTTCTGACCATTTTCGGTACACCAAAGACCAAGTAACGAAATTTACAAACAGCACTATAATAATTACGCAAATAAATAAAAAAGATGATTTTTTATGATAACTTTTTAAGAGAGAGGAAACCCCTTAGTAACGCGTCACAGCGAAAATCTATGAAGTCACCACTTCTACCGGGAGTCCATATCTATTTACTTACGTATTTTTAATAGTAAAATTCTTCAAGCTATATTATATCAATATACTTCTTTCAGTGGACAATCGAATACCGCGATATACCACCCTTAATGCGTACCTGCGCTACCACCTGAGTCTACCCGGGACAAAGGCGATGTGTCACCAGGGTGTGTGTGGGGCTTGCATTGTCATGGTCTTCGGTCGCAGGCCCACGACTGGGACCTACGAGACATTTTCTGTTAACTCGGTAAGTTGTAGTTAACCCGAGAAAATAACCAAATTCCGTTAATATCCACTGACCGAGGTCACGACAAGTGAATCGAAACGTTTGTGCTGTGTCGTAATTAAATTTACTTGTAAAAAATACCTTTTAAATGTTTTATTTTAATAACACTTGTGTTTACATAACTGGTTTGCTGCCTAAAATTTATTCATAGGCGATAGTCATGACATAAAGCTAGTTTAAATATGTTTTATAGTCTGATCCAACATCAATATGAAACACATGGTTGAAAATTAAAAACTAATTTGCAAAAACAAATAAATGTTATTTTTTAGGTCAATTTTAATAGGTACAAAAATGCATAAGAAAAACAGACTCAGTAAGAGAAAAGGGGAAATTTTCATGAAACTTATTTTTTATAATTTTTAGAATACAATAAAAGTACATCAACGGATGTGTACGTAAATAAGTGCTGAAATTAATTCTAAAGAATTTTTATCTCGTTAAAATTAGAAAAAAATAATACATGTACTTTCAAAAATGATTAATACAATAAAACGACACGGGCGGGACTGGTCTCCATAACATTACGTGGTGCCGTTCTAACTAATTGCCGTGGTAGCTTGAATTCTAAGTTACCATGAGACCTAGAAGTTTATGTTATTTAATGATATATAATGTACAGTAACATATAAAAAATATTAAAAAGAAAATAAGATTTAGTGTTTATACCGATTTAAAAAAATATTTGAAATTCGGAAACCAAAACGCACATAAGTTTATTTTTCCTTCAGTGGACCAAATTTCATAACTACGACTGATTTTCAATCCATTTAATATCAAGAACTTTCAGACGAAGTCTAATATGCATTCAGAGAAGTAACAATTAATTTAAAAAAAACATGTTAGTCCAGCAACCAGGGAAAACGAGCGAGCTTGATATGTTTCTTTATTATTAGCCAAAAAAATATGGAACTAGCGAAGGTGAGGCATTAGGTATTGATGATGGTAGGTAAAATACCTTACCCAACGCCTAAACTAGATGCACTGTCGATCAGGTGCTGAGAGGCATCACATATGACCCCATGGTGCTGCAGTCCATCAGCTTCTACGTCCCAGATGCCTACCTACGACGACGTAATAGATCACTGTTCGCCATCAGTCCCGCGAGAACAAACTTAATGTATTATTCCCCGAATACGCGAGCACTTCACATTCTTAACAGTGTAAATTGTAAAATCGACATTTTTAATTGTACATTGAGCGAGTTCATAAAGACTATAACGTATATGCAGTAGTGTTATATGTAATATGATAACTATTAATTTTAATTTTATTTAAATTAATTACAATTGAAACTCACTATCATGTTGGAATTGTTACTCTGTAGGGGTGTGTGATTGGTTTTTAATAAATAAATAATCTTTTTGCCTTGGGATATTCTGAAATACCACGTACTGAAACGTTCTAAAACTTTATTGGCTTTATCATCTGTAGACAGTGGTTCGTGACCCGGTCGGATTTAATATATAAATGTTGGACCCGATTGGGGGCGACAAGCCCGTTGATTACTGACCAAATATTGTTAACGTTGCACCAATATGTCGATTTTCAATTAAGAACACATTTCAGTGCCTAGTGCTAGCCGTATCCTGCCATGGGTGGGAGATCACCACCATCGAGGGGGTCGGAAACAGACTAGAAGGCTACTCCGAAGTCCAAAAGCGCATGGCTGCGAATAGTGCTACTCAGTGTGGTTACTGTACTCCTGGATTCGTTATGCAGTTGCACAGGTATGACTATTAAATGGGTCATGGGTTCAATTTCAACTCTACAATAACTGGAAGAAGTTCTCCATTTGTAGCACGAAAGTTAGTTGTTCTGGTGTCATAAATTTAAGGGTTTGTGACTATCTACAATGCTTCTTCGTTACTACAATTTATTTATTGTTACAAACGTGCTACACCAAATTGGGACTAAAACCTCTTATGATATCCGACAAGCTTGGAATTCATTTGATGGTAGGTGAAATAAGCCAGCTATATAACATCTAAACAGTTGCGCTGTCGACCTATTTTGGGTTTGGATATTCGAAACAACTTAGGTACTTCATGTATAAGATCCTCCGTCTATGCTTCTCAAACTCGTATGTGCAACATTTTTTATAAAAAACAAAAAATCTTTTAATATCTCAAACATGTAGAAGTTAGAAGTATAGGCAGTTTAGCCAATGTCCTTTAAAATGTATAGTATTGAAGAACAAAGACAAACGTATCTTTTAGCCTCCTACACAAGAACTTGACCATGGCGGAGCTGGAGAATTCATTTGGCAGCAACACATGTCGCTGCACCGGATTCCGACCAATTCTGGACACGATCAAATCCTTCGGCTCCGACGCCCCCAAGAACCTGATAGACGACATAGAGGATCTGAAAATCTGTAAGAAGAACTGCGAAAGAAAATGCTCAGTGAACAGCGAATGGAGTGTCGTCAGCGAGGAAGCAGCAAATCAAATTATAAAAATCGATTATGGCCATGATAAGTACTACAAGGTGTGGACTGTTGATGACATTTTCAAGGTTATAAAGAAAGCTGGCGACATCTACCGATTCGTGGATGGTAACACTGCTAAGGGTAAGAGATTTACTATTAGCTACAACGTCGAACTTAGTAGATAAGAAAATGTAAAGGTATTTTTAACTACCAAGATTACCAGAACAATAAATCGTGATTTAAATAGAACACTTTGACGGTTTAAAAGGCGAAATATATTAGTTAAATTTATTGGAAATGTGTTTTAACAACGGCCCGACGTTTCGAATGCTTTACAGCAGCCATGGTCCCGGTGTCTTCCCGTTCACGTTTTAAACCGTTAAATTGTTTTATTTATATTTAATAGTAATTGTGATTGTTATTCGGAGCCCTATTATCTTAAGATTTTGCTGCCTGTTTGACTTTCTTGTCTTGAAAAAAAGTGTTATTGTCACTAAGAAATAATACAACAAGTGACTTTTTCTCGAACTTGTTAAATAGGTATGTTTTAGTCCCAATATTGTTTATCTAGTCAATAGGAAGGAACTGATTTTAGGCCATTGTAGCGTATTTTTCACATAAAAAGTTACGAATGAAATCTATAATACGTAGTGAAATACAAAACTTAATTTAAAACCAATTCAAAAGTATGTTGTAAAATCTTGTGGGGCATTATTGTTTCCCTGGAAATCATACCTAGGACCACTTGCTCTTAACGCTAGATAGCACGTTTTACTATTTAGCTCCAAAGGTGTTTATTAACATATATGTTTTGATTTGAAGCCTTAAACATTTTTTTCATATTTCAGGAGTGCTACCAGAACTCTTCGATTATCCACCAATCCTTATTGACATCAGTGAAGTATCTGCCCTGAAACAGTACAGCATAGACCAAAATTTAATCCTCGGAGCCAACATCAGCATAGAAGACTGTCTAGATATATTCAAGAACGAAAGCAAGACCGACGAATTCGCTTACCTGGATGACTTCGTGAAACATTTAGACGTCGTCGCTCACATTTCCGTGAGGAAGGTACGAAATATTTTGAAGCCATATTTGTATTGTTATATTTACACAGGTGTTTTAGAATATTGTTTTATTCGAACAAAACAACTAGTTTCCAGACAAATAATTCAAATTGCGAATTCTTATCCCAAAGAAATTCGTTGAAACTTCGTTTTATTGAATTAAAAACTTACCTTACCATTTACGGCTAGAAGTTGTGTTTTTATTATTTATACAAATAATAAAAAAACAATACATTGAATTTTTTTTATGAAGTCCGAATATATATACTATCTCCCGACGTCGGACCTTCGTCGGTTCTTAATTGAAATTAATAAGTTATGTAAATAAATTTGTATTATCTACCACATTTACTGTGTGTGAATCTTTGTAATGATTATGACTAGTAGTATGACGACTTATTATGGTACTAGAATAGTCTAAAATCATAATACAACGTCTTGTCTTGTCTTGTTAAATCTTTTTGTTAAATACTGATATAAATTGTAATAATAATTATTATGATATACATTAGTATTTTCGTTAAAACACATATAACGGTTTAAAACCCGAACTTGTTACCTTATTTTTAATTAAACACCGACATTTCGGATGCTTCGCAACGGTCGTGCGGAGTCACAACTTTTAAGTCATTGTAAGTACAGATTGCAAAGAAAAATATCTAAAAACTATAATTAATAAAACTTGATTACAATATACTCATAAACATACATGATTATTCTAATTCTTAATACTACATACTGGTAATGTTACTTTTTGTTATTGTTTTCTTTATCCATGCTATTATAATATATTATATAATGATTGATAATATACTTTAGCAATTATTCAATTAGAAATTTTAAATTCTTCTTGCAGATCGGCTCTTTGGCTGGTAACTTCATAATCAAGCACCTGAAGAGGGAATACCAGTCTGACATTTTCCTTCTGTTTGAATGTGTGGGCGCTGTTGTAACCATACGTAAGACTAAAATGTTTTCTACTTACACAAGTGATCTGATAAAAGTGGAGTTCTAGGTTGGCTTTAATTAATATCGCCAAGAAAATGTGTCATCATAATCGGGACAGATCGACTTAACGTGATTTCCACCTCCTTACATTTTAACTCTGAATTTATTATTGAAAGTATCATAGAAAAAAAAACAAATACCGACCCTCCTATGAGACAAACGTAAAACCTAAGTATACTAAAATAGCTTAAAATAACAACAATTGTTATTATATTACTATACATATAATACTACAAATGGTCTAAGTCATAATGGTTAGACCATTTGCAATATATGTATACCACATATGGTCTAATTATAGACATTACCATTTGTGGAAAAAACTAAGTCTTCGTATTTGTATGTATGAAATTTTAATTGTTTTTCAGGTTCAGGAAGTGGTGAACTAACTTTGACCCTTCCAGAATTCCTGGACCACAACATGAACGGGTGTTTGATTATAAATTTCAAATTGCCTCCTTTAGGCCCAACTCATGTTGTTCGGAGTTACAAGGTACTTCTAATAGGATAATCTGTTTTGATGTTATACTATAGGGATTAGACTACTTTGGTAGCACTTTTATGCCTTGATTTGTATCTAGTAACTTCATTAGTAGATTCTCTTGAGAAACATAAACTTTGCTTTTTGCCAAAAATGTCGCTGCTTTGAACTTGTACTTATTATTCTATCCCGTGTTCAGAGTCTTGAGGAAACATAAGTTTTGTTCTGGCGGGCAACAGATACAAGATTGACACCGTAAAAATGCTAGGATATTGGAGGATATATCTTCTGACAAGTAGACCCTAAGCTTGTCTGATCTTAAAAAATTAAGTCAATCAGTGAAATTAACAATTGATACATATTTAAACAAAACACATTAAAGATTTAAAACGAGAAAATAGACCTACCTTAAACGGGTAAACCCCCCCCCCCCCCCGCGACCACGGGCGGTTGATAGGCCGAAAAGCGGGGCGGAATTAATGTTTTTTTTTCCCTCCAAAATAAAAATATTTAGTTAAACTAGTTTACAAATTATTTTTAGCAACAGCGTCTTTCGCGTTTTAAACCGTTAGAAGTTTTATTGAATGTGTACTACTATCGTAAACTACAGACAGTATTAAATTATTACATAATCCAAATTAAATTTTTATAATTTCGTAGATTTCACCTCGAAAACAAAACGCCCTGGCAATTGTGAACGCCGCGTTCAACTTCAACATCAACCGCGACACCAATAGAATTGAGGAGGCCAAAATTGTATATGGCAATATCTCCCCGAACTTCATTCACGCTGCAGACACGGAGAGGTACCTGCAAGGGCGATATATGTTCTGCAACGACACCCTGCAGACAGCTATACATATCCTCGACCATGAGCTGAACCCTCAAATCATGCCTCCTCAACCGTCTCCAGAGGTCCGGAAGAAATTGGCCATTGGACTATTCTATAAGGTAACGTAGAACGTTTGTCCTTCTATGCTTTGTGTTGTGGGTAATATTTTTATGTTAGAGAGACAAGGGATATAAGATTAGTAGACATAGAAGGAAATTATTTTAAAGAAAATTTATCTGTTACCCACGACGTCGTTCGCGTCCTGTCGTTGTTGCAAGTTAATCTTAAAACATAGACATTTTGTCGTGAACATTTTTTCAGACCATTTAAAGATAATTTTATTCGTACATATTGTTTAGGTTTCTTGTACCGTTTTCGGACACACCGAAAATCCACAAAGTGTTGTAGGCACTTAGTAACTACAGCTTGACCCCGTTAGATGATGACATCTCAGAATTAGCCAAAACCAAGTCATCTAACGGGGTCAGGCTGTAGTTACTAAGTGCCTACAGTATATATTTTTTTGTTTTTTCCAGTTTCTCGCTTTTTTAGCTCCTATTAGTGATATCATGATGGCCAATAGCCACCTACAATGTTTGGTCATGTGGTTGCGAGATCCGTCACCCGATTTAAACCGTTAAGTTCTGTGTTAAATTGTGTCATTCTTATTAAATACTTCTTGAAATGTAATCTTCTTCTTCTTAGTTCATCCTGAGCATTAGTCCAGCCGACGCTTACCCTTACAAATACGCTTCTGGGGCCACGGAAATATTTCGACCACTCTCTTCTGGGAAGCAATTGTACACCACCGACCCATCTATGTACCCAGTTACAGAACCACTGCAGAAACTCGAAGCGCTGATACAAAGTTCTGGTGAAGCGAACTACGTCAATGATTTACCTATCAGGATGAACGATGTGTTCGCGGCTTTTGTTCTGTCTACAGTGCACGGTGGGGCAGTGGATAAAATTAATTACAATATTCTGGTAAGATTTTTAATTTAATTGCTAACTAGATTGTATGTATGTATGTAAGTACAACATAATATCCTGTCTGCCTCGCTGATTTTTTAAACTGTTTGAACCTATTTATGTCCCACTGCTGAGTAGAGGTCTCGCTTAAGAATTTAGACCCACCACGCTGAACCAGTGCGGGTTGGCGGGCTTTAACAACTAATCCCACTAAATTACGAATACTTTCCTATACTAGCTCATTTTTCCAAACTCTAGACGACCGTAACGACGAGTATTCTTTTTTAAGAAGGGGACTTGAGGGAAAGTGGGATAGCCTAGCTTTGTACCATCTAAACAAGATGCGCTGTCGTCCTATTTTGGCATTGGATATTCGGAAATCCACAGACTAAAACCGAAACACGATTAAACTTCACGAATTTTTTACTTAGGACGGTAGTTTGTGAACCGGACGTAATTTCGGCATTCCTACCGCACATCTATTATCCAGATTTCCAGACGAACTCAAACTTGTTTTAGAAAAAATAATTAAAAATATGTTGCAACCCACGACCCGTTAATTTTCAGCCGTACATTGCTAACGCTACACCAACGAGCTCGACAAAGTAGTTAGTTGGTATTTGTTAAATTTCATCGTTAAAAATTTCCAGGAAGAACCAGGTGTCGTAGCTATATTTACAGTTAAAGATATACCCGGGGTAAACTCCTTCGGGTTTCCTGGTATACCTCTTCAAACCGAAGAAGAAGAAATCCTGGCTTACGACAAGATTAAGTTCTGTGGCCAGCCAGTAGCCATCTTGGTTGCTGAAACGGAATACCTGGCTGCTAAAATGGCGGAGAAGGTTCAAGTCACTTACAAGAACGTGCCGAAGACACCAGCTGTTATCACCATAGATGAAGCCAAGAAGAAAAAATGGAGGTAGGTTTCCCAGCAAGTGTAATTATTACAAACTTTAACGGTATAAAACACGAAATGTATTAGTGATCGTTTACGACATGTTTCGGATGCTTTGTTATATTCCACATTTAAAAGTATTTTTTATTAGATTCAATATTTGATAGAAAGTGAATTATTTATACGTGGGGATTGGAATCCGATTCATTTAGGGTGTGTTGATTGAGGACTAAGACACCAAAATAAATCTATTGAAAACTTCTTGATAGCCTCATCGTAGTGTTTACATAGTGAAGTAATAATGTTCTTGTGCCATATGGAGTATATATTTCGACAAAATTTGATTACCATTAAGACTGTTTTTGTAAGCTATTTTTAAATTATAGACATATAGTGACATTTTAGAACAATTTTTTAATACTTTGGGTATATTGTACCGTTTTCGTACCCTAAAGATGTATAATATTCCCCAGTTTTCCATATTTTCCTCCGTTTCCTCGCAGCTAATGGTCGCAACGTGATGTTTGTCCAACCAACATAAAAATATGCTTTCAATTAGAACCAGTATTACCCGAGCGGGTTCAAACAAACTTTATAATTATAATTAGTATATATTTCGTTTGTTTGTTCATTTCAGATACAAGGCCGGAACTAATCCCGATGAAAAAATCGTGCCTAAAGGAAAAGGGGAGAATGTTACTAAAGTAATTAAAGGTAAGTTTTTTTTAACTTCCATTTTGTAAATATATATAATACCCAAAAATATCTCTAAGTAACACCTACGACATAATTTCTTACATTCCGATGACCAAGAGAGCCAATCAAATTGTAATTTGTGGCATATCTAACATACATTTTGTATTATACAAACACAGATAAAAAAGAACAGACAAACATTTAAGTTCACGCCATCTTGTGGTAACAACCATTAATTTCTAAGATACTGCCTGTAGTTTACGCGAGTAGTACACATATTTTAAACATAACACTTAAACGGTTTAAAACGCGATATATTTTAGTTAAACTTGTTTTAAAATAATTTTTAAGTACGGGCCGACGATTCTCCCCGTGACCACGGCTGCTGCAAAGCATCCGAAACGTCGGGCCGAAGTTAAAAAAAATATTCAAACAAGTTTAACTAAAATATATCGCGTTTCAAAGCATTAAAGTATTTTATTCAAATAATTATATTGAGTTACGAGAAAAAGCTGTCGGTACTTTTTCATCAAAACTTTCTTTTATAATCTTATGTTTTGCATTATAATTTTGTATGACAAAAAACAAATTTTCTGTGTCAATAATACGAATATATGTTATAACTGCGCCGAATTTTATGTAAAATCAATAAAAAACAGTCGTGCAAACATAATATGCAGACATATTTTTATTTAAGACTGTCACTTGGTCAAATAAACCTTGAACCATAATGAAACTGGTTTTAATTTCTCGATTTTGTCAGGGTACCCTTGAAATGACATTATATTCAGGAAATTTAATTTTTAAGACAACATTTGAAATACCCTTTTTTTTTTTGTTTTATAATTCCGTCATAAGGATGTTAGGTGGTGTTGCTAAAGTTAATTGTGCTACGCTAGCGCCATCTCTTGCCTCGTATTTGTTTTTTTTTGCAGTAACTAGCAGAGATTATACTTATACATAATTTATTCGTTTATTAATGTTTACTATATAAATGTATATAAGTAAAACGCATTAACGGTTTAAAACGCGATATATGTTAGCTAAACTTATTTGGAACTTAGTTGAACGGCCTGATGTTTCGGTTAATTTACAGTTGCGTCGGGCAACATTAAAATAAGTTTAAGTAAATACAGCGCATTTTAAACCGTTAAACTGTTTTATTTAAATGTGTACTACTCGCGTAAACTACAGACAGTGTGTATATCAATGTTAATTTTAAATAATAATTACCAGGTAAGTATGAGACTGGCGCCCAATATCACTATTATATGGAACCTCAAACAACGATCGTGATACCTGTCGACAAGGGTTTGGAGGTGCACAGTGCAACACAGTGGATCGATCTGACGCAAATTTGCGTGGCAAGGTGTCTGGGAATTAACGAAAGCGAGTAAGTTAATTAAAAATCTATTTAATTCGATGACATAGGGGGGCTTGAACCTGCATCCACAGCGTTCCGTGCTACTCTAAATAATTAATCTTTCTTTAACAAATTGGTATATGCACGTCTCGGAAAAATGATCCTATAAGGCCCTCTGACCGCCTCTGTACCTCTACGGTGTAACGTGTTGCATTAAGCGAGTGAGGACCTGGGTTCAGGGTTCGGGTAAACAATGAATTGTTTCGGTCTGGCACAGAAGTCTGATGAACTGGTTGTGAATAAAAGCCGATCAGTGCAACGGACACAGAAATTTCGCCGCAGAAACGGGACACACACACACCTCGCATAATGTAATTTTAACCGTAACACTTACGTATTGAGGTTCTATGTCCTATGCTTTGCAGCTTTTCAGGTGAGAAATATGACCTTTATATTAAAAAAAAAACACTTAAACCAGTTAAAGCGCGATATATATTAGTTAAACTTATTAAAAAAAATATTTGAACTACCCACGTTTCGGATGGTCAGGGGGAGACTGACGATGGAGGGTGTCCCTGACAAAGTATCGCGTTTTAAACCGTTAAAGTGTTTTATTGAAATGTGTAATACTCGCGTAATCTACAGACAGTATTTAGGATATTGATGTCTTATATCGTCCAAGTCCATTGATAGGCAACGAAATTACAAGTCTATTGATAGTGGGCGTGCAACCAAATTAATTTCAACCTGATCTTTTAAAAGTATTCTGCTTCAAATTCTTATGAATCCACTCTTATATTGTCACCCCTAATTATCTCTCCATTTTTATTTATTTTTCAGTGTCGTGGTAAAGGTTCGTCGTCTCGGAGGAGGTTTTGGCGGGAAATTGAGTCGCTCGGTGCAAGTTGCTGCCGCTTGCGCGATCGTCGCCAGGAACTTGAATCGGACCTGCAGATTCATACTCCCGTTCGAGACCAACATCACCATGATCGGCAAAAGGCCGCCAATTCAGTGTACTTATGAGGTAATTTATTTCTCTTCATAAAGTGATCAATTTTCACTCCATAACCCAGCCCACAATATTGACGATGATGTGAGAAAAACGTTGTTACTTCTACTGTAGAATCTAGAGCGAGAATTCGCGTTTTGAACGACATAGCAATTGCCTTTTGGAATCAGATTTTCAAACATATAAGATTATGTCGAAAAAGCACAAAATGTCCATTTATCTTTGTACGTGCGTCTCACACAAAATGCGGGTCCAAAATTTTTCCGATCTATTTTTGTTTTTTGAAACATGTACTTCGTCTGTACATTACTAGATTTTTAATTGGGTGGTAGAAATTTAGAAATTACATTCCGAAATGGATAAACCGTTAAATCGCATTTCAGTTTCAATCTGTGTATTTCCTGAAATGACAAAGGCTAAGCTAATGACTAAACAAGCGGATCTCATATACATTATCATATAATATATTAATTATTATACCTAAACTTAAGTTAAAATGCTTATTTAGGTTGGAGTGAACGACATAGGCAAGATCCAATATCTCAACGCCAAACTGATAGAAGACTACGGTTGCTCGCAGAACGAGAACATCTTGAGTTATGCAGCAGGAAGTTTCCCAAATTGTTATAACACAGATTACTTTAACTTGGAAACCGCTTCCGTGGTTACAGACTTGCCTTCTAATACTTTTGCCAGGGGTCCTGGTGAGTAGGGGTTTCGTTTATTTAAAGAGATAGTGATCATTACTTTCGAAATGATCGGACAGATTGTTTATTATTCATTGATTACTTGATGGTAATACCTTATATAACATGTAAATAAGATGTGTTGTCGGCCTATTTTGGCTTCGTATATTCGAAAATCCAGACTTAATACGCCATAAAAATATGCTTCGTCCATGGATAGTAACGGACGGTAATTCGATGTTCCTACTACCATTTAATATGCCGGTTTTTTGCTACTATTAGACGTCACGATCCCATAATTTTGATGATATTTCTGGATAAATACATTGAATAATGTTGAAAGTTCTCTGACGGAATGAATCTAGTATAATTTAGTTCACTGCATTGTCATTTTACCTAGCCATCATATTTCATTTTTATGCGAGTAGTACATATGTAAATAGAACATTTTAACGGCTTAAAATGCGATATATTAAACTTATTTTAATTATGGCTCGACGTTTCGGATGCTTTGCAACAGTTGTGGTTACGGGGAGACACTCGAGATGTTAATGTGCTTGTGCTATTTAAGTTTTTTCTATTATAATTTTCATTTTCTCCATCTTTTTTTTTTCAGGAACATTTGAAGGCATCGCAGCCATCGAAAACATAATGGAGCACATAGCGTTCGAACTTGGCCTCGACGCCACCGACGTCAGATTGGCGAACATGAAGACAGATGACAACGAGATCCCCGAAATGATAAAAACCTTGAAGAAGGAAGCCGACTACGACAAACGTTGCGCTGAAATAATACAATTCAATGCCGACAACTGCTGGAAGAAGAAAGCCATCAAAATCTCCGTTATGCTGTTCCCTGTAATCTATTACGGGAATTATTCCGTCCTGGTGTCGATTTACAGAGACGGAACGGTGACCATCACCACTGGGGGCATAGAGATGGGCCAAGGTGTCAACACTAAGGCGGCCCAGGTCTGCGCATACAAATTGGGGATATCGGTCTCATTGATAACATTACTGCCAAACTTTTCCTTCACTTGTACCAATAATGTGTTTTCTGGATCGAGTATTGTGAGCGAATGTGTCATGTTCGGTGTTCAGGAGGCTTGCGATATCCTGCTTGACAGACTCCATCCCGTCCAGGTGGAGTTGGGAAAGCCAACTTGGAATGAGCTGATAAAGGCGGCGACAGATAAGCAAATAGATTTGGTCGCGGAGTACATGATGAATGATAAAGAACCGCGTTTGAAGGCGTATAGTGCTTTCGGTGTGGCCATCTGCGAGACGACTCTGGATGTTCTGACTGGAAGGTTCCAGATTGATCGCGTGGACATTTTGGAGGATGCCGGTGTGAGCACCAACCCCATTGTGGATATAGGACAGGTATATTTTATGATTAATTTGAAATTATTACCCCTATATACCCAAATATTTTTATATACATATTGGTGTTGGGGTGAAGTAGGAGATGATAGTTACGTGGAGGCGTCGAATTTTGGGCAAAACAATATTTGTAAACATTTCAACTCCCTGAAGGGGTAAACAAGTTGTAGACATCGAAATTTTAACTGAATGGTAATCCAGAATCTAAAGACCTGAGAGTTCCCCACGCGTTGGTCAGACGACCTGGTCAGGTTGGAAAACTTTAGTGAGTCTGCGGGAGGCCTATGTCAGACCAGCTACAGCTAAAAATAACTTTATTTATTTGCAATTACCCGCTCAAGTGAACTTTAGATCCATTAAATAAAAATAAACGTTAAGGGATATTTTCTTATATTAATAATTGTTTATTTTAGGTGGAAGGAGCTTTCATTCAAGGTCTAAGTTATCACACGCTAGAAGAGTTTATCTACAACAGTATTGGTAAACTCTTGAACAACCGGGCACTGGGGTACGATGTCTTTCTTGCTAAGGATATTCCTGTCGATTTCAGAGTGCGGCTAAGGTTTAACTCCAAGAATAAGAATGGAGTGTTGGGTTCAAAGAGTAAGTGGTTTGTGAAGATTATGGTATTTTTAATTCAATTTCTTTTTTGAACATAAAAATGGATTCTAGACTAAAAAAAATTTACGACACGGGTAAGACTTGAACCAACATCCATAGAGTGCCGTGATTTTGCTCTAACCAATTGAGCTACCGTGGCCTACACGTCATACGTATTTTATTTCCATTTATGTAAAATCGATTTTTAATGTGCAAAAATATTTGAAAAATATTCAAGTTTTTAAAATAATAAGTTCTTGTACAATGTAGTCTAAAAACGTTATCTTTGAACAAAAATATAAATCAAGACTTTTAATAAGGGAATTATTAAATTTTATTGAGGATTGTTAGCTAACATAGTATATTCTTTTCAGCCGTCGGTGAAATGGGAATATGTACTACTTATGGAATAGCTTACGCACTGAGGGCATGCATCCACGAATCCAGAAAGGAATCTGGTCACAAACCAGAATGGTTCACTTTGGGTAAACAAATTATTCTTAATCATTTACCTATGTCCGGTTTCTTAGGACCATTTTACGTATATGTGTCAAAGCACCGTTCATTCCATAAACTACGAAAATACGCTTACATTTTGACCATTATTTCTTTATATATATTTATTTATTATCACCAACTTCACTAATATTGAAATAATCTTAATGACAAAAGGTGGTAGGGATGTTTTGCCAGTAGGAATTAATGCAAGTTGAATTGACAGAAATCTAACTGTCTCTTTCTTTCTTTATGCTATCTCTTAATATGTAATAATAATGACTAATATATTTTGTTTAATTACAGGTTTCCCCACTAACATAGAAGCCATTTTGAAGGCTTTGGACGTGCCTCTGAGTAATTTCGTATTACAAAAGTAATTTCACAGTAGAACTGCTTATTTATTGTTCTTTCTAGAGTTAATTTCACTGCTACATCCAATAAAGTTTGTTACGAAACATATTCACCATCGTACGAAAGCCATTTAGAGTTAGGCAAAACTCTCGACTTGTTGTGTACTAATAACGTAAATTACGGATAATACTTACAAACAATTTTTTACTTCAATACACGTTTATTGTTGATTCATAAAAACGAAAAAAAAACCGAGCATTCCATAGTACAAAATTTAGGCTCTAATTACATTAGGCTTCGAGTAGGCCACAACAAAACATTAAAGTAATTCTAGAATCAAAATAAATACCTATAATAAACCACCATTTCACTATACACCTTGGCTTAGACCTATCAAAAGAAACGTACTATCCGTAAAATATACATTGGTCTATACAATAATATCAACAGTTCGGTGTTATGCAAAAAGTGCAATAGAAATTTCTAAGTTACTACGCGGCGTGTGCGCACGCCATTTTGAGCTTTAATTCATACAGTTATGACTGAAAATGGCGTGTCCACTTTCAAAGCTTTGGTCGAAACGATCAGTCCCTTATAAGGATACTTGATGGTATGATTTACAAAGCGTTTTATAAACTAATTTTACATTAACTATTCCATGGATTTACCCGAACTACAACCGAAAGGAAGTAAGTACCTTAAACATTGACGAGGCTCAATGATTTATTGAAGTTTCTAAAACGGTTTAATATGCGAAATATATTAGACTATCATCTTTCCTCCCCGTGACTTGCTAGCATCATCATTTAATAAGTTTATTTTGCGTTTTAAACCGTCCAATGTGTTTTTAATTGATTTTGACAATGTTTTTGTCGAAGAATTCAGGTTTTATTAAATTGTTTTAATGATTAACCGATGTTAGTGTCATTTCTTCATTATCTCGTTCTTTTTCAATCGTTTCGTATAACACACAAACATTTAAGTGCTAAATACGCGCTACTTATACTCACTAAGAGATTCGTTGAAGATCTTACTTTATAATCAGTCATTATGAATATATAGATTTTGACAAAGGTATTGAAAAGTACATTTATATTGTAATGCTTGTCTAATATAAGATGACAAATTTGACAGTGCTATGACAAACGCCGTTTCCAAGTGATAAAAAATAGGTAATGATTTTTTTGCGTACTATTAAATACAATTTATAAATTCTCTGTTGTTAGGAGCGCGAGGAAGAGATATAGAAGCGTTAAAACCTAACCTCTAGTCCGTATGCAATTACAATCTTAAATAAACTAATCCACTGATTTAACTTGGCATAGCTAAAACTAATTGTATTTACAATTAAATTTATGTGCCTGGCAGTGGTTCGTTCTAACGATATTTACCACATGGGACATCTAAGTTATTAAACATAGAAGTGAATACTGTTTTTTAATATTTACAAATAGTAAACATGATTGTTAAAATAAGACAATATTGCATATCCTTTTTTTTAAAGGTCATGTTTGCATGCGTAGACACAAAGATATCTTTTCCGTAAAAATATAAAAGGCTGTTTTGTCCTAAGAGAGCTCTATTAGATTTGAGCGTTCCTTGACTAGAATCTTTGCTTAGTCGAGGAAGGTTAACCATCTCTTGATGTTGCCATCTACTCTCATGATAAAACTTAATTTCGACAGCCCGAGAACCCTTGAAACTACTATACCGTGTTTTTTATAGTGTCGTGTTATAGTCTACTTCGTGTTGCCAGGAAGTTGGTATTTTTTATGACAGCACAGGTAGTTCTTTATTTAATTGTCCTAAATCGACTACAACGCACGCAAGCAATACTAGAACAAACAGCCAAATCCTGGAAAAACTATAAAGCTGCCAATAAAAAAATGTGCTAATGTTTTTCTTCGGAATCGTGTGTATAACCTATTGTGAATATTCGATATATTACAAGCACCTCTTTACCTTTGCTCTATTCCTTTGTGTTCTATGTGTCTACACTATTTCGTCCTACATAGCTTTATACCCTGCACAATTATATTCAACTTTAAATCGTAATATTAAGTACCGAAGATCAAAAATATTACCATTTAAATCGGTGTACTCTGTGATACGCAAAGATATCTTAAGCAATAAGCACTACAGCCATAAAACTTATACAAAATAATGAACCTGCTACTTAATATGAGGTATTTGTCAAATGTCGCTATGTTTCGTCGTTTTAGAATTTTCGTATATCGTAGATTATCTGTGGTTATCGGCGTCTATAATCTATGCGCGATAAACGTTGGATTATTTCTTAAGAAACAACAAAGTTGATTAGCCATTCATGTCATAAGTATTTTTTTATATTATGTACCCCTTAGTGAGGTTTCAATACCGTTAGTCCCATTTTATTAAAATGCATAATTTAGTTATTTGTTTGTCGAGATTTTTTTGTCAATGATAGTATGTCGATAATAATAAAAAAATTATGTACGTCATACGAGAAAGATTTTTCGTTCTAAATCTAAAATCACGCGATGCCATCTTGCGTATGCGAACGTTTCTTATCTCTATGATGGTCGGGGGTAGATTTCAAAATGTCCGGCTGGCCGTGCGAAACTACCCTCGCTTCGAGGTGTTGATTGAAAGTGGATGTGTGCGAGCTTAACGTTAAAGTTGCGTTCCTATCTGAGCCTAACGTCATCGTGGTTGTGGAATTTAGCGTGTTATGAGTGTGGTGGACGTGCGGCAGGGTGGATGGTGACGAATGTGGCATGGTGGATGGTTTGCGCATAGATCGGTGGCTTCCGTTTCTAGTCAGCGAATTCATTTGGGGGGTGCCAGTTCCAGTCGGCCTTAGCGTGTTCTTGTAGTCCGCTATGAGATGTGTTAGCTCTACCATCTGAAAGTACAAGTACAAATTCATTTGGGCGTAAGTCTATAAAGACTTCTACTTAAATAAAACACACTAATGGCTCTAAGAACGCGGAATATATTAGTGAAACTTATTTACAATTTATTATAAATTCGGCCCGACGTTTCGAATGCTTTGCAGCACGTTTTAAACCGTTCCTGTTTTATTTAAAAAAACTTTTTATTTGTTAGACAACATTAAATTAAATTGGTAATACAACTGTATCTATTGGAAAATATTTGAAACAAATGAATAATCTTACTCTTGGTTTATTGAGACTGATCAGCATCTTATGGACTGGACTAGTCGAGTCTTCAGCGTCGATTAGCATCATCAGGTCATCCTGGTGGCAGAATATTTTAGATACATTAAATTAATTTTATACCTTTCTAGAGATAAATTTTTTAGGTATTGAAATAAAATATCTAATTATCTCACCTGTAATCCACCAAAAAGGCCTATCGAGTTAAGTGCATATCTGCCTATAACCGACATGGAGGCTAGTTCCAACACAGTCACACCATCTTCTGACACTGCCAACCAAGCCATGGATAGATCTGGTTGTTTTATCTGCAATTGTTGTTGGAAATAAATAATTAAACATCCAAACCAGCTAGCTAGGTAAGTAGGTAATGGCTAGACAAAACCCCCCAAACTGGGGCCTCAACGATAAGACCAATTGATGACCAATTATGACTAGTTAATAAAAATAGTAATAAATCACTTTATATAGCATTCGACTGCTTAGGCTTAGGTTTCTGTAGCTAAATAGTTGAACGCGTTGCCTAAGCGTTGCGTTAAGCATGGGATGTCCTGGGTTTGAATCCCGGGGAAAAAAGTAGATTACTTAGGTCGGGTAGGGCATAACAGTCTGATGAATTGTAAAGAAAACCGAACGGTGAAACGTTATCGCCCCATACCACAGGGGTTAAACAGGATTTCATTTTAACAATTAGGTGTTTGCCTAGTCTCAAGTAGTGAGTTATAGTTTTTTTTTTTTTTGTGGACGAGCTTTTGGTCCTACGGTAGTCTATTCGGTCGTCGGTCCGATGCTCACGGATTCAACGTGTGAACAATTTTTTTTTGAAATATGTTAGACTTCGTCTCGTAATGATCAATGGGTGGTAGGGATTCGATGCTCACCGGATAAACCGTGAAGTTTAATAGCGTTTCGTTTTTAGTTAGTTCAGTGGATTTTCGAATATGCAAATTAGGTCGACATCACATTTTGTTGAGATGTTATGTTGATGGGGCATTTTATCTACCATTAGGTTGAACACCATGATAATCTGTCCTCTCCTATCCTAAAACTATTTCTCCCCTTCTAAACAAGCATAATAAACTGAAGATGATAAACCGGAGGGATCTACATTTTGCTTCGATGCTGCATAAACTTAACTTTTATAAGAAAACCTGTGTATTTGGTAAAATACTTCAGACTGGACAACTTCGGACAGACTGAAAACCAGCGCTTAGCAAGCTTTGCTGAACACAAAGTTAAAATTGTACTTTTTTGTATGCTTTTCATTGTAAGTTTTCTTTTTTATTACTTATTTTAGTTGTAAATTATGTACTTTGTAATAATAAACGGATAATTTATTTAAAAAACACTTACCCTAGCCTGGAATAATGTAGCACCAAAGAAGGGCCACTTCCTGGTGCAGTTGAGGTAGATCCGAACGCAGTCAGCTGTGCTTCGTCCCTTTAGCGCTACCCATTTCGACCTCAGCTTCTCCTCTACGTCTCTGCATTAAAAAAGTTGATTTACATATGTTATTTCAAAATAAATTATTAATTTGAAAATAACTAATTGGCCACTTATAGATTACTTCAACGGTATGTACCTTATCTAATGTAGATTTATTTAAAATACTGTCTATAGTTTACCTCAGTACTACACATTTAAATAAAACACTTTAACGGTTTAAAACGAAAGTTATTTGAAAATTATTTTAACTACAGCCCAAAGTTTCGGATGCTTTGCAGCAGTCGTGGTCACGGGGGTCTGCCCTGGGGGGACTATTAACTAATATATATCGCGTTTTAAAGCGTTACAGTGTTTTATTTGAAAGGTGTAAGTATATTAATTAAAACACATTTCACGGTTCAAAACGCGCAATACAATAGTTAACGTTTATTATATTAAAAGTGCGGTGATATTTTACAGCAGACGTGAAAAAGTCGTAAAATGAATAAAAAGTGTCTTATTTACTTCGCGTTTTAAACTGTTTAATTGTTTTATTTAAATCAGGTGTACTTACGTATTCAATCAAATACAATACTATAAAATCATATATGTAATTATGCAAGTTGTACAATCTATATAATAAAAATGGTAGTAGTCGTCAGTACCTCAGTTCGTCGTTAGTAAGTCCCGCTCGATATCGATACGGGTAGAACCGATGTGCTAGCGGCTGATTGTGTTGAGTGTTGGACGCGGAGTAGTCTCCCATATCCAGCTGGGCCATCAGGGCTCCTAGTTCTGCTGCCAACTCTCTCGTGACAGGGAATCTACCGGCTACCACTGTAAAAAGGATTTCTCCATTTGAGGGCCAGTGTTTCTAGCGTATTTTTTGCAAGTAAATGGCGTATTATATTTATTTTAAAAGTGGTTCAAAATGTGATTCTCATTACATTAGATCTTCAATAGCAGATTGTACACTATAAGAAAATGTTAACCGGATGTCTTAGAAAAGTTAAAGATCTTTTTAAATAGAAATAAACGACGGGCGGAAGTCGAAACTGCATCCACAGCGTTCCGAAATTAGACGATGATGTGTAGGAGCACGTCCCGCCGAGGACGCAGGTTCAAGTCCTGTCCGTGTCTTTATTTTCCATCTAAATAGATTTTTATGGGTGAGTAAAATCCCGTTCCCCCTCGTGGGACATGGGGCGAACACATTTCTATATACGTTTCACTGATCCGTTCTTGAACAGGCAAGTAGTTGATCGGACTTTTGTGCCCTGCCCGACTGAAACAATTTTATGTTTCCCCGAGATCCGAACCCAGGATCTCTAGCGCTTAATGCAATGCTAGGCAATACGTTTAACCATTTGGCTACAGAGCCGGAGAGAGGTTTATTTTTATGTAGTGCCATCGTAAAAAAATATTAGTTTTCAAACTTAAGTCTTAACGAAATATGTGACATTTAGTGTCTTTTATCAGATAGATATCTACGATTGATATACCTTGCTGGTTGACTTGGTAGCAGAGCAATAACCTCTCCTTATCCGTCTCGGTCCTGACTGAGCTTTTGAAGTAGAGCCTGTTCCTATAGGTGAGTCGTATGACGCGCGAGTTCTCGAACTTTCCAGAGCCCTTCTCGCGCAACGCCGTCTCCCATCGGGATATTACGTCACATAACTGGAAGAAATATTGGAAAAATATGAATATAAAGTAATAGAAACTTTTTAGAAGTTGCACACAAATACTATGAGCTAAATTTACTAAATCAATGTGTAGTTATTGATAGTAATTTACTATTTCAATAAAACAAAAAAAAAACGGTGCAAAACGCGATATATTTGTTAAACTTATTAGAAAATGCGCTTCGGCTTCGGCCCGACGTCTGCTGCAAAGCATTCGAAACGTCGGGCCGAAGTTAAAAATCATTTTCAAATAAGTTTAAGTAATATACATCGCATTTTAAACCGTTAAAGTGTTTTATTTAAATGTGTACTACTCGCGTAAACTATAGACAGTATTTAATTGCGCATTTCAATATTTTCCTTTTTATTGAAAATCATGTTTTTGTTATTAGGCCACTTTGTCTCTAGCAGCCTCATATAAACATAATATGTATATGTATACATGGGGATTTAAATTAAACAATGGCAACTCTTAATATAGGAACTGCTATTTTACAACAGGATTTTATGGCAGAATATTTGCATAAACTATAAATATTTCAAAATGTTAAAGTTTTTTCTAAATAAAGTATTACCTTCTTATCAGGTTTGATATGGTGTTCTAGATCCTTCTCAATGGGGTCGTCGCTAAAAAGCGCGAAGCCCGACGCCGCTGACTCGCGGCAGCCCAGCTCCGAACTCAATGTCGATAAGAACTCTTCCACCGTCGTCGATCCGTCAAAACTTATTACCTAGAGACGAAGTCATCAGGTATACGTGAAAACTATGTCAGTATTTAAGTATTAAACGTTTTCTTTATATACCTATATACTAAGAGTTTCTTGACAGTTATTCTGGTCCTTATTACGCTCTTGCTTTGGTAGTAAATGAAAATTTAGAGATTTTTTACTTTGTCATACCTGGTAAGTGTTATTGAGCATGTGTACAGGAATGGCGTGAGGTAAGCTATGGTGGTACGGGTTCTTGAGTAATATCGAGAGCACTTCCATACGCGACGGCTTGTCCGTGCGTCCGCCAACGCGTATCGTACGCTCAAGTGCGCGGGCGCAATACGCTGCGTATTTCCCGCATTCCGATCTGAAAGTCACAAGCGTAGACGTTATTTTTTCATGTCATAAATATTGAGGTTGTCTAGTCTAGATATTATAACTAATACATTTAGAAAAAATATAATGGAATGGAAAACCTAGAATGGGCTACTTGGCAATTGGTAAGTAGACGTTTAGAAATAGTAAAAAGAAACAAAACATTTGACAAGTGACATAAAATGCTCCTAATTGGTCGGGGTTGTGACGACGTCACTTGCTCATAAATAGTGCTATGTATCACCGTGCTTCAATAAATAAATTTCTACCTAAATTTATTACTTCAATCACTTTTAAAATGTAAATGTTTGGTACAAATATGTTAATTGTAGAACACATGATCGTCATGAACCAATGGGCAATATAATGTTGTCACTAGCCGTAATGCAGTGTTATTTCGGCGTTTAACTACGCAATTTAAATGTTGGATTTTTGATTTAATATATTACCAAATAATATAAAGTATATTTTAAAATCAGTCGAATAGCCCATTAGTGGAAGAAGAATAACGAAAAAACTCTCTGATGTCTTTGAGACAAGCGAAGGAGCAAGAACGTCCCTTATCGCAGATGCTTGGGGCTAGGTAAGCTTACAATTGTAATTCTTAATATATTTATTGGACAAGCTTGTGTTTACTACTTACTTAGAATCCGAATGCCTGCTAAGATGCAATTTGAGGTACCAGAGCAGTCTATTGTTCCTAGGCACAAATAGACTCACGGCAAGCGCTAGGAGTTGCCAGCCTTGTATAAAGCTATACGTCGGAGGATTGCTCTTGCAGTCCACAGATAATAAAGGCGCCTGAAATAGCCCACAGATTATAGAAGTCGGTATTTATCTGAAATGTGTCTTATTCGTTGAAGGTTACGGTCGAATTTGCTTTCCTCATATGGTTGCTTGAAAAGAACATCGTATTGGCTTCTTTAATTTAGCGAAATAAACTGTCCTAATTTAGAGCCTTACATAATATACAAATCTATCTATCACTCGTGAATAAGGCTTCGCGTGGCGACTTTTACACGAAGCTACAATAACACGTAAAACTTATACTGAAAATTGTTAAGGCGGCATCCTCACAGCGTTAATAAAGACGTACATCGAAAAATCTATACTAATATATAAAATTTAAAAGACGAAGTGACATAGCTAGTTCCTGATACCATTTCTTATAACAAACCGTTCTTAATGCCTACATACATGCTACATTAGCAATTAAACCTCTAGTGAAGACGCCGCCTTATCTCCTAGGCGTACCTGCACGGAACTAGGCGAGCCAGCCGGGTGTTGCGGCATGTCTCCCTTGTCGCCGCCGACAGACGAAGCGCCCGTGTCGCAAGTGAACAGCGACTGGGTCGCGCACAGCAGCAGTTGCTGTACAAATGAAATGTTGGTGTCGGGTCGGACCGTCAGTTTGGGGCCTTATTTCGTGTAGGTTTTTGTTTGTAGACGTGTCGAGTGGTATATATAGTACGTATGGATTGTGTTTTTTTGGTCCATGCATATGACATAACTATTGTAAATATTTTTGATCATATACGAACTGGAATTTTACTTGATTGAATGTACAAGACATTAATTCTTCAGTGGTCAATGGTAAGAAAGAAATTCAAATATATGTTTCTCGTTAAACAGGTGTTCAGTGAAAGAATTTACAGTGAATGTTGATATCGCATATTGGGTTATAGAATGTGTAACTGCATAATATGGCATTGAAAAATATATTTTTTTTTACGGTGAAAATAACTCAACTACGTCAAAAAATTCGTTAATTTAAAACGTCCTATTAATTGGATGGTAGTACTCAATTTATATATATCATTGTCTTTCGGGCTGTTCGGCCGATGTGAGCGAGAAGAGTTTCTCGACGTTTCGCCATCACGTGTGGACGGCATCATCAAGTGATCATCAATCGAGGAGGATCTCCTCGATTGCTCGAAGAATTATGAGTTGTCCGCCGCGGCGAGAATAATATGCTGAACGATGGCCGTGAAAGCCTTACACAATTTAATACTCTATTTATACACATTATATTAAATAACTTATCATATTCGGTAGGAATGAAAGTAAAATATATCCAGAAAAAGCAAATTTATTACGCAGTTACACAAATCAAAGTTACTCACCTGAAATATATAGATATATAAAGAGTCTAAAACATCAACCTTTACAAAGTGCCGAAGGAGCGAGCTATGATATGATATGAATCTCATTCCCAAAAATCTAAGGGATCGGGCACAACATTCTTGGATGAAAGTAAAACAAAAAAATAGGGAAAAAAATTACACCAACATTCCATTTGAAAATACGCGATAGGGTTAAATCGCTCAGTGCTCTGGCAACACTCGTTTACCGTCGAATGTTGCCAGAACAGACGGATCAAGTTGGAATTTTTACGCAAATTCAAGAAGCCAATGAACACGATTCCAAATTGATCAATAGAAGCTCAATTGTACAGCTGCACACAAAGCTCACCAATGGTTTGTTAGTGTATTCAGAATTTTGACGCAACTAAAATCATCTAGAGCCCGCATTCTAGCAATTTTAATCTCTTATCTTGAGTCAAGAGAAAACCAAATACTCTAAGTATTTCCACGCACGGATTTATAGTCAGTAGCTTTCATACATTTTGTATGAAAACTGCCATAACTGTCGGAGTGACGGCGTTCACTGGTTGTGACTTTTATGCCTACTATCTTCTATAATCTAGTTAAAACTTTAATTACCTTTTTAATGTTTTGTATTTTTAAATTGAATATCAACTCCCCAAAGTACAAACATATGTTGATTTAATTTGATATTACACATTCAAATCGTATTTTTAAATTTGTTGTGTTGTTGTGAAAATATTCACATTTTTTTTTCTTTGAGTTAATTATAAGGCATTTATTTATTTTTGATATTATTATATAATGTCTGTACCTTGATGGAGTAAATGATTTGAAATAAAATTTAGATAACCTAAAAGTATAGAGATCAAATTGCTTTAAAACTAGTTTACAGAATGAGGGCTCACAAAGCGATGATAGTATACAATTTAGCTTTGAAATAAATCTGAGTTTTCAGCGTCCAAGGCAACGGATTGTAAAAGTGTTGTATCAATTTACAGAATTCAGATTTTACGATAAAATTTACTTGTTAATGGATGTTCAAGTAGAGAACTACTTAGTACCATGTAGTCCAGAAATTACCAGAATAATTTGAATACTAAAACCGTTTTCAAATACGAAGCTAAATAAAAATGTTTTAGCCAAGAGCCATTTAATCTACACATAAGTGCTTAAAAGAAATTGATACAACGTTGTGCACATTTGCCTCAGCGAGCTTACAACACCTAAAGCTTTAAGCGTCTAAACCAATATACCAGTATACGTGATGTACCGGAATGATTATAGGAATACACCAATTAATGAGTTCGTGATAACATATGAGAAAAGCGTTAAGCACCGCTTGAAGCTTAGCTATCAAGCCTGTACGTGGTTTAACCAGATATTGCAACAAATTAAAAAAAAACACGTTAACTAGAAAACAAAATAAATTAAATATAGTTTAAATATTTTAAAATACGACAATCACTGGCATTTATATATTCGATTCAAATAGAGCACTTTAAACGGTTTAAAAGGTCGGTATTTGGAGAACTACGATGGAACAGATGGCGCTTAGCAGATTTGACTTTAACACTAGCGATACCCTCAATTTTCAGCCCCAACAAGACCACGGTTGCTACAAAGCACCCGAAAGGAATTGTAGTTCAGACAAATTAAGAATAAGTTCTCAAATATATGTCGCGTTTCAAACCGAAAGTGTTTTATTTAAATAATTATATCCAACCAATATAAGGTATTTTTGTATTTGTTATACAAGTACGCAAGTATTCGCATACTTTAGTAATTACTACTTTAAAGTAAATAACAGAAACAATATCTGGTTTATAATTAACAGGTGTCTAATATATACCCTGTTACCGTGATTAGTAATGGTCGTTACAGAGCCATTTACATTTGGGGGCAAATTAAAACAATGACGTCTAGAGCTTTTTAGATTGTCTCTATTTTATGCATTATATAATCTAAAATGCTCCATCGATCTAGCTGCAGATGGGAGACATAGGTCGTGTGATAACGTTAAATTTGCATTAACTATAGTTAATCTTTTAAAATTTGAATTCCCTTAGATTGGGATCAATATTATTGCCGCAATTAAGGGTAAATAAAAACCGTTATCTGTCTGTCTTTAAAAAAAGAAAATGATTAACTACTAAGAAAGTAGCTAGTATTATAAAACTTATAAAAATCATTTTTAGACATACTCACACTTAGTCAATATAGCAAATTGATTTTACGAGGCTTCAATACGCAAATAAGTAGCTTTAATATTGTTTATCACACGACCGGATCTTAAAAAAACGGGGTGATAGAAGCGCACTTACTGTCTTAAGCTTGGCTGTGGTGAGTTTTCTCGGTACCTGTACGGCGTGTTTGGGGGGCGCGTGGGGGGCGGACTGCTTGCACAGGGCGGAGACGAGCTCGTCTTGCAGCTCGGACACCTCGAGGCATTGCTGCAGGGCGTTTTGGGCCAGAACCACGTGGTAATCTATACCCGCCTGCTCTACCGCCACAGACATGAACAATTGGACGCACTGGAATTTTTATGAACTGTAATTAATTACGTACTCAAATGCCATAAAATCAAACCAAAACTACGTAATTTTCGTTATAGGCAACTTAATATCTATTATAAATATTTCTTCAGGAAAGTAACATCAAATCATATTTATTACGCTAATTTTAACTTTTTTTTATTTTTGGCATAGAGTCGGGGTTGTTAGATAACTTTTAAAACAATTAGTAACTAAATATTTGTAAGTATATTTATAATAATATTATAAAACTTCAGAGTTCGTTTGTTGGTTTGAACGCACTACTTTAGGACCTTAGGACAGGTTTGATTAGAAAAACTAAACGTGGAGAGCGTTGCAAAAAACGGTTCAAAATATCCAAACATTACGTAGGAAAGAAGCATTAAATAATCTAAAAAAATATCAGACCGTATATGTCTATCTCTAAACATAAACTTGCAAGAACGACGGGACGCGAACAACAAGGTGGGTAACAGCTGTAATCTATAACAATGTTGTTACAGATACTCTTTTGTATGTTCTAAAGATGATGTCGTTGCCATAGTTACCATTCTTGTTATATTATGATTAACCAGAAAGATGTGAATACAGCTCTTAAATAAAATCCATATATCTTTTAGTTCTTTAACTTTTTAATAACAGATGTAGAAAAGATTCGCAAAATTCTAGGCTAAGTAACTGGCACACCTACTCTTAAATGACCTGAATGTTATGAGTCTTACCTTAAATAATTTCAACGCCTCAGCTTGTAACGCTTCGGAATTGAGGGTAGTTAACGGCGAGGTGATATTTTCCTTGGAATAGAGTAGCGTTGGATGCCGCCATAGGACACAATCTGAATAAGAAATGTATTTATTTGTGAGAATCTTTTGAAACCTTAAACATACTATGCAATATTATTTAACTTCACTGACAGAGGTACTTAATATTATTTATCTTTCTTTTTTTATTTGTCTTTTTTATTACAATACTGCTATTTTTCTTTTCAACCCTTCAGTCCATTTGTAGCCTTGAAATTATAATTTATTTAGCAAGCTATACCGTATAAGATGGTAGCTTAAAACATAGAAGGATATATCCAGCTAAACTGCAAAATTCTCAGATATATTAAAATACGTACTGGGATCTCCATCGGTTTCCATAAGTTTCTGTACGAGCCGTTCGAAGTGGGTTCCTTGGGTACCACCACCACCGCTGACGACTGTCAAATGATACAACCAAGAGTCTTTGTCCGCTTTGCACTCAAACAGCAAGTATGTTGGTCCCTGAATTAAAAATGAAATTAGTTACACCAAAACCACATTTAATATGTTTTGGTTAATAATCTCTTAAGCTAAAGAGAACTGAGACGGTCAGCTGTTAGTCTAGCAGTAATATTGCAGCTCAGATTGCCATTAGTACAAATGTATAGCTGGGTAAACCAATGTATTAAAACGCTAGTTACACTGCAGCATTATTTTTGTCGTGACGATGTAATTCTGATGGCCATGTTTCTTTTAAAGTCTATCTTTTAAATAAAATAATTCTAACACTTAAAAATATGAAATGAATTAACTATGACCCGACGATTGGATGCATTACATCAGCCCTGATCAGGGGGAAAAAAGTTTCAAAGTCAAAATTGCTACACTAGCGCCACCTACATAGTCTTCATTGATATTTGGAGAAACCAGCTGGATCCTTATAAGCTAACTCCCATTTTGTGTGCTGTTTTTGTGGACTCAGTCATTTTATGATTGAAGCCCAAGTATTTAATATTTATATATAATAGTACTTAGTAGAATCATTGGCACTAGTTACCTGATGCTGCGGATATATAGCAACAGTGAGATGTTTTCTCGCGTCATCGTTCTTCTCCTCGGAGTCAGAGTCTGAAACGTGTTCAACGTCTTCCACGCGAGCGTCGCGCATGTTTATTTGTCCCGTTGGGTTCTGAAACGTTAAGCGATTATTATAGTTATTTCGCTCAAAATAGTCATAACGCTACGAACAGACAACTGTAACAACAACTTACCCACTCCAATAAAGAAAGTATACTTTAATATATGTCAAAAATTATTCATATATTATTTATTTATACAGTACTAACCTGATCACTAGGGGATTTAAAGTACAGGAACATCTTGCCAAGTAGGACGCACCAGCTCTTCTTGGCATGGCCATTCTTGACTTTCGTGAGCCACCCTTGAATGGTTGGCTTGTTGTCTTCTTTGCTGAGGAGCAGCTTTGTTGCGTTTCGTCTTTGTACGTTCTGGAAGTGATATTAGGAAAGATTTGTAATAAGGCAACAATAAAATATCTTTAAAGGTTTTTGGTATTCACCGTTGGTAAATTATTTTTCAACAAAAACAATTCTTGTAAGCTTTGCTAAATGGCCTCGGAAGTATCATACAAAATATAGTATAACTTCCTTCTGGTTAATTAAATACTGTCTATAGTTTAGGCCAGTAGTACACATTTATAAAACACTTAAACGGTTTAAAACACGATATATTAGTTAAACTTATTTAAAAATGCTTTGCGGCAGCCGTGCCGTGGCGGTTAAGCCTGCCACGAAGCGTAGTGCGCTCTAAGCTCTAACAGCCTTTAAATGAGATCCAGAAGTGGACAGTGTTTATAATTCTGTACCTTATATAAGGGTACGAAAATAATTAACGCTTTTTTAACCATTATAATTAATTAGTACCTGCAGCACTCTAATCCAGTCTTCCATGGTGGCGATGCTATCCGCCGTGAGGTAGTAAGTTCGACTGCCGGTGAATATCTCGAAGGTGGCCGCACCCTCATTTCTCGAGATCTTGCAGGCCTCGCCTAGACCTATCTGGCCTTGAGGTTTCCTATTTACTTCTGATTGTGACTTCCAGTACGATAGCGTACCGTTTTTGAGAACAAACCTGTGTTTGAGCAATAAATAATATGTATTTAAAATATATAACTTTTTAATACAACAATATGTTAACTTACAGGACTAATTAAATTTGAAGAGATGAAATATTGTCAAGAATATTTAAAAGCATTGCTTGGTACCTCTCTAGAAAAGGGTTACATATGTATTGGTAACGCACTGAATTAACAATCTATGCAGATTGAACATTATGAGGACAGGAGGGGGGATTAAAAACCAATTGAGGGAATGTAGGACTATTTCCTCTAATTACTTAAACCCATTGATACATGCAACTTTCGTGCAATTAATTTAACTCTTTTGTATTGAGGTTTGCAGCGTTTGTCTAATTTCCACAGATTTGCAATCTTTCATAGTTTTTGTTTTGTGACAATAAATATTAGTTGTTATTTGATAATGTAATTTCAACTTTTTATATTGACGTCTCAGAGACGGAATATAGAGTTCAACTTTCAGAGTTTTGTAAAGGGACAACTCTTTTTTCCTCGTGAAAAAGAACTTTTTGGCATATTAAACACGTGCATGTATAATAACAATTCCATGAATACAATATATACCATCTCTTTTTCCAAGTCTTCAATTTCCCGCCCAATTTGGCAAGATGGCCGCTCTTTTCCAGAGCGTCATGTCTCCGCGGGGAATCCCTCACACTGGGCTCGCTAGACATCGCGTCTGGCGGGATTGCGTAGTCGTCGGACATCCCAGACTCAAATGAGGTATCTGGAAGTACAATTATCATCATAGTATAAGCAATTGACATCCCTTTGTAAAAATAAAGGAAGTTTGACAAAACGTCACCAAAAAAAGAACCAAATGATTTTTGCTTATTAGCTTGCTAAAAATATATATTTTAGGTTACGGTTTAGGTAAAGGTTAACGGTAGCAACACTAGCTGTAGGATATTTTATATATTATAAAGCTATATTTATCATAAAGATTGAAAAATTGGGTGGGTTTAAATATGGCAGCGAGACCAGCGAAGGATGCTATGGTAAGCTATGTGGCAAAATTATCATATCCCAAAGGTTCACATTGTACACTATAAATTAATTGTATTATTCCTAGGATACTAGTTAACTATAGAATAATTGTCCGATTTCTTAAGTCTATTGTCATTGTTATCTTCTAAACATAATTATGAACGAGCGAGAAAATAAGTTATATTGAACAATGTAAACAACACAACAACAACTACCACACCTAACTATCCCTTACTAATATTTCATAGAATGATAATGTATTCTTTATCAAAATAAGAACATACCTCTGGTTTTGCTCTGTTTACTAGGAGACCCACTGCTAGATCGCTTAGCCGGACTCAAACTGGAGCTGGTCTTCACACTCTTTGAAGGACTGCTGGCACTGAGGCTGGTATCTGAAGAACTGCACTGCCCATTAGTGTTGTTGAGGACCAGCGCGTGACCGGATGTTTGTTGAATGGCGGCGGGGAGTATGCTGGTTAGGTTCACGTTGTTGATTGGAAGATGTGACGGCTGACCTGTGTGATATCAAAAAACGTATTTTAAAGGTGAGTGACAAATACCTGTGGATCAAAAAACAATATAAAGTTGACGGATTCCTTGGTCTAAAAGAATATTAGAAACTTATTAGTTTGACCCCCACCGGATCCAAAAACATTTCTAAGCAATTTAGATTTTTCTCAAACATGTTGGACTTCGTCAGGAAATCTTCGTGTCTTGGTGGTAAGGTCCCTGACCCACTATTTTAAAAAGAAGTTGTCAATAACCGTCTGTCATCTCTCAATGACAGTTCGTCAAACGTCAACACCACTCTGACGACCATACTCAAGTCACAAATGTTCAATAGATCATTCAGTCAATTTGGTAAGTGAAATAAATGGCAGCACTGCAACATTGCCATCGCACGTCCACGTTACGTATTATAGTTATTACCCACGATGTCTGCGGCGTCTGCGCGTTCTTGTGAGTTGCTCTTAAAGGACAGACATTTATTGTGGGTGACATTCTTTGAGATAAAAAGGAATCATTCTTTCATATATATTTTTTAGTTATCTCGAAAACATTACAGCGCACGAAACAGCAACCCACAGCACACACATATATATTATTTCCAGTTTTTTTTACATTTCCCACTGTTCACATTTTCCTCTTTTCTCCTATTGGTCGCACCGTGATGTTTTATAGCCTAAGCCTTCCTCGATAACTGCTCTAATCAACACCAAAATAATTTTTCAATTCAAGCCAGTAGTTCCTAAGATTAGCGCGCTGAAACAAATAAACTCGATCTTTATATATTAGTATAGATGATATTAAAGCTTACCAAAGACAGGATTGTGCATAGGAGTGTTGTGAACAGTGACCCCCATAGACTCCTCCCCGTCTGAAGAATCGTCCGAAGAGTCTCCGGTGAATGGCATCGACCTGATTTGGCTGGCCCGCTGCAAATAGATCGGTTGCGTCAAAACACAAATTTAGTTTAATGGGTCATTAAAAAGTACTAACTGATTCATGTATTTGGAAACTTAAATATTTTTACATGATAAATTACAAATCAATTTAGATTTAAATTAAATTGGACTACGGGCATTTGAACCGGCACTCAAGCGTTCCCTGCTGCTACTCTAACCAATTAAGCGAGTCTTCATATTTTGTAAATCTAATTAGAAATAGGTGTACAGTTATATCCATATAGACGATGAGCTTTTCTTCCGGTGTCAAATTTGTGGAACCTGACACAGAGTCAAACAATTGTTTTTCAATTTATATTCGATTTTTAAATTAAAACAAATTAAGTTAGGGGAATGTGCAAGAAGTGCAAATCTTAAAATATACATCTCAAGAATTACTTATTACTTATTATTAAACACAAAAAAAACATAAAACATTAAGTTTGAGATATATAAAATATAGTAACCCCTTTGACAGTAGCATATACTGGAACTGAGATATCTTGATAACTAGTCGATTCGTGCATCGGTCTTGGGCAAGGCGGAGGGCTCAGCTCCTCTTCCACAGACTGTTGAAGTCCATCATCGGCCACCTACAAGGACAATTGAAATATTAAAAATAAAAAATTTAATGGTTTCAAATGCGAAATAGTTAATTCAACTTATTTTTAATTTAATTTTACTACGACTTGACGATTCGGATGCTTTGCAGCAGCCATGGTCAGATTATAAATGTTTTTATTAATATTTACGCGAGTAGAACAAATTTCGATAAAATACTTAAATTGTTTAAAACGCGAATATTATCTCAATTTTAAGTACGACCCGAGGTTTTGGGACATCGTCCCCGCGTGACCACGACTACTGTAAAGAATGTTGTATATTTAATGTTTTAAACAGTTACAAATGTTGTTAAAACATTTAATTTTTATGTTTGTTATAAAAACTTGACCCTTTAATTTGAATTTCGAAATTAATTTTCGCTTATTACCCAATTACTCCAATGCTTCTTAAATGAGTACTAACTTGGTATATCTTAGCCTCCCAGCTGGGGAACCTGTGTAATGGAGGTGTCGGAGGTCGGGGCTGTTCTGACGTGGAACTGTCTCCTGTCGAAGAACCGCCTCGACTATGTCCTTGTATCACTACGTTTACGTTACCTTGCCAGGCTGGAGTTCGTTCTAAAAGAATGAAAGAAGATTTTAAAACGTTTGCAATAAATATATGGTTCAAAACGCAGTAAGGATAACTGTAGTAAGTAACTAGCAGTAATGGAGAGACAAACAAAAATATCAGGGTCTATTTTTAGCTTCTATAGGATACAGAAGAAGGTAAAATCAGAACTCTAAAAAAGCTTACTAATAAGTTTACCTCGACTAGGAGTGTAGATTTCAGCATAATCATGTGTTGTATCACCGTCTGTGGAGGTATTTGGAGTTGTTGGTAGTACTACTAAATTTTCTACTGCAGCCTGAAATCATTATTTAATACGTAAAGTACTCTTTCCAGAAAATAAGCGTACATTAATAAAAAGAACTGTAAAAATGTTTTGTGTTATTCTACCGGCAGTAACATTTCTTTACATGTTAACACAATAAAGATTGTATGAATACAGATTTACATTTGTTTGACATGATATGTAATACATCTAATGGTATCCTCCTCATTTAGTATGCTCTTACTACCGTCTGACTACCGATCTGATCCGTCACGTCACGTCACACAAACGTAGATCCGTATCGATAGAATGTTTAAAATTTACAGTAGATCAAGTAGTGTAAATTAAGTGTATTTTTAGTAAAGTAGTTGATTTGACTATATATAAATCAATTGTACAGAATATATAAATTGCAACTTACTGCTAAATCATCAGCCAAGAGGCTCGCTGTGGTTCGTTCATCCATAGTCCTATTCATTGTGCCAATTTGAGATACATTCGCTTGAGTCAGGTTCGTTGTACCAATTGACAAGTTTCTTCTATGCCTCACTGGGGTACTGTAGTGAGGCTCAGATGTTGTTAGCGGTAACTGAAATATAGGGATACTTTTAGAAGCACATTGACACACACACTTTCCGTCATCATTTGAATGTCTCAGACTACGACTGTTTGCAACACTGTTACACTCAATAACTCTTTGTAACCATGAACATTTTGTAAGATTATTAATAGCTGGAATGTTGTATATATTGCAGTTTTATTTCCTTTATGAGTATTACAATATATATTGAATTACAGACCAGCCAGGACCAGCCACAGATAAGATGAAGTATGACTGTACAACAAATTGTATTGTTGCATATCTTATTATTTAATGAAGTCAAGATTCTTCTTTTAAAACAGACAGAGGACGACCCTACTATCCACATTGTCTCGAGGCATAAGAACATTAAATACTACTTAATTTTGAATAGGATTTTCAAGTGTTTTTGGCTTAAATTGGACATTTCCTTTATTTTTTTTAATACAAACTGAAAAGTGACAATTCATTTAATTTATTATGTCTTACTAAATATAAAATAATGAGATTGTTCTACTTCTAAAGTAAAAATATTAGTATTTTTTTAAATATAACTTATTAAGATCTAAGATCCTAAATATGTTAGAGGATGCAAATATGTACAAATATAACCATGCAGGTACATAACATTTGTTGTTACAATAAGTGTTTAGTACATTGTGTATCACAACTTTGTGAAGTATATAACTGTTTGTGACTTCCAATATGTTAAGGTGCTTTTTACATATTATCTTTATGTTATATTAGCAACACTACAAATAATGTGTTTTGTGTATATATTATTTAATCTTAATATTAATTGCAACCTAAAAACATGACAGACAGCACTAATATGTTACACATTTGCCATTCATTCCTTTTTTTAACTAGCCATATTGATGCAGATTGTGATCTTGGAGTTTTATGGTCATATGTAAGATTTTTTATATATCTTTGCTTAAATCAGATAAAAGGTGGGAGAAGAAAATTATGCATTGAAAAAATTTTTAAGTGGGCTCTGGTTCTTAATACGGTAAGCATCATAACTAAGTAATTAAATATATCTCTCTTTTCACTACAAGCTCACAGGTAGAGAAAACTTGCAAGAGAGCTGTTTAAGATAATATTGGAAAAAAATTAATACATTTGATGAAGCAGGAAACAATAATTGAGCTCCTTATGTATTAAATCATTAGTAATATAAGGTTCTTTGAGAAAATCTTTACTTTTTTGTATTTTTTTCCAATATAAGCGTATTTAATAGGTTTACTCATGAGATTATGACCTTGAAACCCAAAGATCTGTATCTACATTACACTTATAAGCTACCTGCGGCCCTTCAAGACTTTCAGAGCGACGTCGATTCGCCGCTAACAAACTTGAGGCTCTAGTTGTTTCCTCTGATCTCACTTCTAGTGATAAACTCCCTCGAGAAGGTAAAAACTGCTGAGGGATTAAAACACTATGTTGCTGTATGATAATTACAATATTTCTTGTGTGCTGTATGACAGGGGGTTATGGACTTTGAATATAAATTAAATATGCCCGAAATTTATTACTGCAACATGTTGATGGAATTAGGACAAATAACAAATGATATTCTTAATTAGAAGTGTAAGATACTAGATTTACATATAAGATTATTTGGCTTTATATGGAACTTGTAGCTTAAAATGGGTAAAAAGGATATTAAGTTAAAACTTACAGTACAGTTCCTGCTCCCCTGTGTGGCTATATGATTCCTCAACAGTTCAAGTTGTTGGTTGCATCTGTCGTTCTGTTCTCTTAATAATTGATTTTGTTGTTCTAGTTCTTTTAGTTTATTTGTGACCCACTCCTTTATGCGAGCTGCTTTTGCCTCGACTTGTTTCGCGTCTTGGAGACGTAGCTGCTTCTAAGAATAAATCGTTAATCTTTTACCACATACATACAAAACATTCTTAATAGTAATATGTGAAGGTTTGAAAAAATATAATTGTGTTATTTTAACGAAAAGCATCTTTGACGTAACTAGATTCAACTAAATTTTGTTAATGCGATCGTAATTTATTTCGTAACCGAAGATCGCACGGTATCAGTGATAAAATAAACTAAATTTAATTTATATTTATTTATGGGGAATATATGTAAATATTTATCGCCTTATTACTGGATTTAAGTACCGGACGCAGATCGCAACAATCGAGTGCAACATAAAAGATCTATTAGCAAGTTGTAAAAGAAGTAGTGAAAGAGAAACGTGGTTAAAGTTTCATGATGATAGTTTTAATTAATAAAATATTTACTACGCTTACTATTTTAGTGGTAAATAAATTGTACATCTAACAGATTAAACTGGAAAAGTACCTGCATCTTGCCAAAAAAGTTTCAGTGCCTACGATCAATAAGAATCAATGTTTCGTGTTTTATACTTTTATCGATTATCTATTATGTCGAAACTATCCATTTTTAATACTTTAAGAATACTTGTAATTCACAAATCTTTAATAAATTCAAAACATTTTAAATTGATAAACAAAATTAATTAACGACTCAAAACAAACTTCGCGTCACAACACTGTCAATTGTCAAAATTTAGTATAAGTGTCACTGAATGTCCACAGAATGAAAATATGATCAGCCATTTCTGATAGGATATATGTAAGTTTTTATTTTACCGCGACCAAGCAGCTCCAAAATTACAGGTAAAGGTAATTTAATAGGATTTCTGACATTATGCTGTACCTGTTCTTCTATCTGGCCCTCGAGCCTGGAGATGGCTTTGGGAGCACCCTCAGCGCCCGCCGGCCATTCGCATAGCCGTTGCTCCATGGCGCGGACCTGGAATTTAAATTTTACTCATGAGACATCAAATCAATGTAGGTATTACGTACAATTATGTAGAGAAGTGAAAAACTTGCATCCAATTAATAACCTATCTTTAATCGGTATTTACTGTTTATTAATACATTTACCTATACATACGTAGGGACTTATTATTAATATAAAGTATTTTTAACAGTAGGTGTTTTTTATTTTTATTAAATACATCTTTAAAATAAAAAATACGAAAATGTGGTTAGTAGTAGTAGTGAAATCCTCTCAGTAGTGAAAATTTCCTGTCTGTTTCATTGATGACAGGCAAGTAGCTGATTCAGACTTCTCTGCCCTGCTCGACTAAAACAAAATATTGCTTCCCCGGGATTTGAACACAGGACCTGTCGCGCGTCACGCACTGCTAAGCACGTTTAACCATTTAGCTACAGACCGGCCATTTACATAACGATATGAAATAATAATTATTTATGAGTTAGGAATTCAAAAGCTAAACAAAACCCTCTAGCCCATATCACGAAATGATTTATGAAGGCGACCGCGCTAATCTTGTCCAGGTAAAAGCGGCACGTAAGCTGCCAGCCGCAATATTATCCTTGCGAGTTGCGACACGAAGTTATGCATCGGCCATTGCGGCGTGTGCTTTAGGAAGCCAGGAAACTCGGGCATACCGCATTGCATGAAATTTGAATGGGAACAAACAGTGAACATCTAGACAAGATGCGCTGTCCATTGTTTTGGATAATCAGAAATCCAGAGACTGTAGTAACTTAAATCGTAACGCGATTAAGCTTCACGACTTTTTGACGCGAACGAACCTTCAATTCTGTTCGGAGAATGAACATGAGAATATATGAAATGAACAATAGAGAAGTGATATTTAAATCCACGTTTGGTTCGAGTCTGTGGATTTCAGAATTTAGATCTTTTCATGTATGATGCAAGTAACTACTGAGGCCTTTTCTGCCTATCTTTTGTTTAGATTTCGAACACTGGACCTCTCGCCTTTCCCTTATATAAATCTTGAATGAGGCTCTAAACGCTATAAGAAAAAAAGCTACTGCTAACTACTTTTTTGGTAAAATTTGTGAACAGGGTAGTGCCCCGTCTTCTATAACAGAAATCGAATCCAAGACTCTTATTTTAGACGTACAAGTTTAAATTCTCAGACAGTATGGTTATTAATATCCATCGTAACTTACATCTGTCCGCGTATATTCCAACAAGCGTACACATTTTAACCACTTCCACTTTACACTTCATGTTTTATCCCACTATATCTTTATTGGTTCAACAATCTTACACACTCTTAATGTCTATACAGGTTTTAAAATACACAAGTTACTTTACGCGTTCATAGTACATACGGATTCCATAAGTTCAGGTCTTGTGTTTTCATTTTATCTATTTAATGGCAATATGAGGCTGCTAGAGGCAGAGTGGCCTAATAACAAAAAACATGATTTTCAATAAGGAGGAAAATAAAATGAATTTAACTTTTAGATATTCGTGTAAAAAATATGTAAACAATTTTCGTCACTGTGCTCTTGTAGAATAACATTTTTAGATTATGAAAATATAAATAACTCAAATCATACAATTGCAGTTAGGCTACTCTGGCTCTAGCGGTCTCATTTCATACAAGATCTGGTAATAGTAATATTTTTTTATTATGTAGATAAAGTAGATTTCATCAATGTTTTGATCAGCATAAAGCCACGGATACACTAGGGGACAAATGGAGCAACATGTAGCGGAACATGTTCCTCAACAACTACGTGGAATGTGCCGAGATACATGTCGCGGAACATTTTGTCGACCACACTTCTCAGTGTTTATAGAAATGTCGCCCGAGGAGGTTGTGGCTATTAGTGCTGCGTACATAGTAATTATATCGAGTGTGTTGAAACGTAAGAGAAAGAGAAGGTGGTGGATGCGGAATTTCTTATTACAACGAGAAAGAAGAGTGTTCACTCTGTGACAAATGGCGCAACACTGACGCGGGACACATGCTCTCGCTCTCGAGGCGGAAGCAAGCAACATGCCCCGCGTCACGTAAAATGTTGAGGGTCATGTTGCGAGACACTATACAATGTTGCAGCGTCACGTATATTTTGTGTTGCGCGTCATGTTGCGGGACAAAACGTTCCCTAGTGTATCCGGGGCTTTAAGCTCCATTTTACGAAGCTAAAAATCCTTACTGTCTTCGTTAAGTATTTTTGTTGCACATTAGTAAATTATTTAATTAATTATGAAATTATAGCACCATATGTAGCCTGTACATATATGTAATAACAAAATGTCCGTCAGATATACTGTCATATTTATAGCTCGTAGCAATAAACACGAAAAGTAGTAAAATTTCAGTAGAGTTGTAAAACAAAGTAGTTCAGCTTCGCGCGAGAATAGCTGATATTCATCACAAACGCCATAATTCGCCTGACTCAGCCGAGAACGCGACTAAATATATCTGGCAACACTAAGAAAATAAGAAATACGGGGAAGCGGGAAATGACAACACTTATACGGCCGGTGTTAAAATAAGATGTTGAATTAATTCATGCGTTAACGATAATGTATTTTTATAGTCACTTATTTTTAAAAGATAGTAAGTTATTTTTAAAAGGTAATGTCGAAAGGAAAATATTTTCCTTAGTAGAGCAGTAAATAAAAAAGACAAATCAAGTCTTAATTAGATACTGTCTGTTGTTTAAGCCATTACATAGTACACGTTTAAATAAATATTGTTGAGCCGTGGCCTCCCTATGACCCGCGGTTACTGCAAAGCATCCGAAACATCAGCCCGTAGTTAAAAATAATTTGTAAACAAGTTTAACTAATATAGTTTGCGTTTTAAACCGTTAAAGTGTTTAATTTAAAGTTTGAATGAAATGGATTCTATATTTTAAACACGGTAAGCTCGTTAATTTTACATCGGCCATATCTAAATCTGTAAAACGTCCGCCGTTAAGTCAGGCTTGTGGCTAAGTTTAAACAACGGATCCTCGTTAGTTACTTCGGTTTAATTAAAACGTTGGCAGGAATTGTTACGAACATCCTTATTTGTTTATGAAGGGACAATTAATCTTGTTAGAAGGGAATAGAAACTTTTTCGACCCATGAATTTTAGTAGAAAATTTGACATATGACACATTCTAGGCTGCCAGTACTTCGTTCATAAAATAGTTAAGTCTTTTCAACACAGATTACTATTAGATAAAGTGATCACAGAAAATAAATACACGTTTTACTATACAAACTACAAGTTTATTACTCATTGTGTGGTCCTTTTCTTGGAGTAGCCGTTACGACACTTTTTCGATCGTTGTTTATTTCACTAGTACAGTGCAATCAATCTGAATGTTTACAAACGACACGCTCCGTTTGGCGTCAAAAATAGATCAAAGACGTCCATCTTGATTCGAAGTGTCTCTGATATATGGCATCCGGAACTTTTTGGGCGCGAACTTTTTACATAGATTTGAATTTCGAATTTTATTGAAACTGTTTAATATTACCGAATTCTTGAAATTAAAAAATGCACGTCAATTTTTTTGGTTTCTGCTATAATATGAACACGTTGCCGAAAAAAAATGGCTTTAGAAAAAACTGATGACTGAGGATAATGTGCTTCCTAATATGATATAACAAGTGACACTTGTCCCCTAGGTGAATTCTTCTCTGTAACTATATCCCGTCGTATCAGGTTTTAATTAATTATCATCCCTTACTAGCACCACTGAGTAGTCGCAACGGTGTTAAATTATCTATGTCTTTACTAAAACAAACTCTACAAACGATGATATATTTTGAGAGATTTTCGCAAACTACAATTAAAACAAAACTAACCACTTTTATAAAAAAAAAGAATAGTGTTGTGATTATTTTATCTATCGCATTTTAATTCTAAAATAGTTTAATATATTTTCAATCTATGTTTACGATTTTGCTTGTATCAGAAATAAAAGTATGTGTTACACTGCTTAATATCGGTAAGTACTACACAATATCTCATTGATCTTCCACTACGACGAGCACTCTGTTGGGAATATTGTGCGGCAAATTGATTATTCCACTATTATCATCGATCATTAGGTACGGCAAATAAATAGACACTCAAAATACAAATTTCGTATGAAAGTTATATTATGCATACAACTAAGTAGAGCTATATAAATTAATAATCTATATTGATAATAATCTGTATAAAGCTGAAGAGTTTGTTTGTTTGAACGCGCAATCTCAGGTTCGAATTTTTTACTGTTGGTTAGAGCATTTATAGGGAAAGCTTTAAAACGTGTGACTAATAGGAGCGAAGATACAGCGGGAAATGTTAAAAAAAATTTGGAAAAGTATTCATCATTATAAGTTTTCGAAGCGTACGCTGCAAAAGCGGTTCAAGATACCCAAAAAATATGTATGAAAGAATGATATCCTCTTTAAATGATCTAAAAAAAGTCCGGGACCCTATATGTCTATCTTTTAAGATGATCGAACGATGAGAGGGACGACACAACAACGACGGAAAGGGACGCGACCGACGTCGTATAAACTAACTATTCTACGTGGACGAAGTCGCAAGCATACCTTTTCTTAGTTAGCTAAATTCTGAATTTAAATAACAATTCTTTTGTCACTTAGTTTTACTTGGTCATGTTTAAAAATAACCGAAGCCGTTTAAGGTTTTAATTATTTATATTTATTTTATTATTCACGAACTGCCCACCTTAAGAAGAATATGCAGTTGTGAAATTAATTAAGTTAATAGTATTAGTTTCATACTAATTAATTTAATTATAAGTAATTTATTATTTATTTAAGTAATTGTAATGTTGCGTTTTAAACCGTTAGTGTTTATTTAATACAATTTTGTAAATAACCCTTTTTTTAATAAATTGTGTGCCTTATGAATTATAGTAATGTATGTATTTCGTATTGCACGCGTACTGAAGCCATTAATAATAAAATGATCATTTATAACTGGGAGGACGTTAATTACGCGTTGA